AGACATATTGACTGATATCAAATGCATTCAAAATCTTGGTGATTCTTCAATATTTACTGATACATTTTATTTAGTCTTAATGTTTAGGACGTTTAGGTATGTATTAAAATTAATATATAATCTTCTGTGTTCATAGATCATACTTTCCTATTAACAAATTACATTATTTTTTATAGTAAGCAAATGCCAAAAATATAACTGGATTAAAACGTTTATAATTTTAAATATAGTGTTAAGTATCAAATATAATATTATGTATTTAGTACTTATTTAAAAATTGAAAGTATACATCTCTTTATTTCCCTTCCACCCCCTTTTCTTTAACACCACTATTTTGTCCTATATTGTTTTGAAACAATTTAACAATATTAAACATTTATAATTTTTTTTTTTTTTAAGTGTTTTTAAGTAAGCTATGTTGCTCATACACTACAATTGGCAGTAATTGACAGCTTAAAAGATACTGGCATTGAAAAGTTACTCAACAAAGTCCATGCTTTGGTAAGGAAGCTCCGTAACCGAATCTACATCTATTTGATACAAAAGGAAAATTTAGTGTCCTATTCTGGATTGTCTCACACGTTGGCATTCCACCTTTAACATGTTAGAAATAATCAAAAATTTAAAAGAATATTATCCAAAATATGGCAAAAAATGATTCTATATTATAAAAGTATGTTTGAATAATATGGAATGGAAACAAATTTACGTTATTTCCCAAGCATTTTTATCGGCGAAAATATGTACCAAAAAACTTCAAAATGAGCAATTAACAGAGACGGATTTTTATGGAAGTTGGATTTTATGTAAAATATAACTTGATCACTAAATAGTTCATTTTCCAATGTAATACTACAGTGTTTAAAAAACAGAAAGTAAAATATTATGAAAAATAAAGTATTATCAACAATATTTCTAGATCTTCGATATAAAATAATACTTACTGATGCTATTAACCATTTGATAGCAATTTGGCTCCATTTAAAAAGAATAGATAAAAACATATTGATTCAACTAAAATAAATAAATAAAACTAAATAAATAAAATAAATCTGGTAACGATGTTATGGATGAGCTTCAGAATTTTCTTAAAGGAAAAGAAATAAATGTTGAAAATTCAAATTCACCCAACAGTTCTCAAACATCAGTGCATACTAAAATTGAAACAGTTCTTAAAACATACGAGAACCTATATTCATTAAAGTAGATTGAATCACAAAACCAATATTTTAGAGATTTGGAAATCAATGGAGACAATATCAGAAGTATATATATTAACCAAAATAATATATGCAGTTCCGTCAACACAAGTTAGCGTTGAGCGTTTTATTCTCGGGAATAAAATTAATTTTGTCCTCTTATAGATACAATGTTAATTCTAAAAATGTAGAAGATCAGTTACTAGTGCGTACCAATAGACTGTTAAAAAAATAATAAAATTAAGTAAATATTAACCATTTTAATAATTAAATATGTTATTAAATTCATTTGTATGTTTAATCATTACTTTTTTTTTGTGTTGCAGCACTTAGGAAGATGAAACTTTAAAAAACAGAATACTAGGTTAGGTTAATCACAGGTATAAACTGCATCTGTAATCGCAATCTCAGTTTTATATTTTTAATATTTATGATTAAAACCGAAACCTCGGGAATTTTTTTTTTTAAAAATCTAACCGAAAAAAACATAAAGATTATAATCTCTGTTAAAAAGGAACTCGTTCATTTATCAAAGAAACAAATTATTATTCTCCTATTAACTGTGCCAACCAGGCAACTACTATTGCACGATTATTTTTGTGCCATACAGGCAATTTATATATTATTTATTCTTTTATCATTTTCAGTATTGTGTGCAATATTGGCCACATCACAAATTATTATTATTATTGATATAATTTAGTATTATCTGTACATTTTTGTAATTTAATTTTTTTTTTTTTAAATCAATTAAACATTTTTATATTCAATTATATAATTTGGTTTTTTTTTTTTTTTTAAATAAAATCATGTTTTATCTTATGGGTTCGGTCCTAGGGCTTGGCAGATTTAAAATTCTTTATGGTAATGTTCGAATTTATGAAATTCATTGATTATGTGATTGACCGCTAGAAGGACGTCATATGTGTCGCATAGAGGAGGTTTATCTTGTCTTATCAAGAAGCTATACGTTAGGTGTGTGTGACCAATTCGGAGTCTGTTAATAATGGATTCTTCTTTTCTATTAATTTCGGGAATTTGCTAATGGAAGTGTCATTTATGTGGGCTTTGATTTCGTTTTTCAAATCTGGGTACGTGCTAATATTAACTGTCAAATTTGATTCTGAGATGATTATATATTATTATTATTAGTAATATTGTATTATTTCTATAATTTATTTGTTGTGCCACTATTAACTACAAATATTTGTATTTATTCATTGTTCCCATTTTTTTTTTTTTTTTTTGCTATACCTACCATTTGTAATTTTGTATTATTATATTGTGTCAAACAGGCAACTACCAATTCACTACTCGTATAGTATATTTATTAATTTACATTTAAATTATATATTTATTGTTGTGTGGCTGTTAAAAATAAAAATTATTCCTATTTTATTTTCATATTTATTTTATATTTCATTTTGGTCCCTACCGTAACTGCTTCCTTTTTCATTGTCGCATAGTTAATACATGCATATTATAATAAATACGTTGTAATTAATATATTTTACTATTTTAAATAAAATACATACTTAGAATTTTGATTTTTTTTTTTCGTTACTCGAATTCTCAAATTCTTTTTACTCAAATTCTTGGTTAACTTGAACTTTTTTCTGGTCCCCTCAACTTCGAAAAAAATTTCTTTCAGTATAAACATTTGAAAATTGTTAAGACCTGAATATTTATTATTATAATTTTCTTATTTAATAAATAAATAAAAATAAATAATTTTTTAAACAATTTAATAAATTATTAACCAAATTGTAACTTAAGTATTATTTAAATAACTATATGTAAATGTTTCAATTTATTTATTAATATTGAATACAAACAACACATCAAAATACGTACATGTATTATTGAATAATTATTATTAGCTGCAGGGCTTAATCATACTTTTTGATTAAAATAATTCTCAATGTTATGGTCAAGTAAATTAATAATAAAATAAAGCATAGGTTTAATATTATTTATTTAAATTGTATGCATTTATTTAAGAGATTCATAAAACATTAACAAAACACAATATATTTAATACATTTCAAAAACAGCTTTTGTATGCATATTATATAATAAAAAAATCAGCTATATTCGTATGAAGGCAAATGTAAAAAATATTGATTGACAAAAAAAAAAAAAATATATATATATATGTATTTATATAGAAATATATACTCTAATACAGATTTTGGTTTTTAGATAAACATCTGATACTTCATTGTTAATAATAATCATGTTTTGATTAAATGTTATTATTAAAAGTTCATATTCATATCTTGTGCTTAGTCAATATAAGTATCATTTTTTTTTTTCATAGGAAAATATAAAGATAAAGGGTGGTGGATTAATTATTATTTCACATAATATAATTTGAGAATTAACATACAACATTTAACCAAAACATATATAAGTGAAAGTATACAATTTATAATTAAAAAAAAAAAAAAAAAAAATCATTTTTCGTTAATTACTTTTACAATGTTATATTAGTAATCATTAGCAATGAATTTATCTTTTAGACTAGAAACACACTATACATATTACATATAATATATTGTTTAAAGATATAAAAATGTGTAAAATCTCAAATTTATTTCATTAATACTAAAAGCCTTGGTAGAAAGTTTATCACATACAACTCTGGTGTTAGTATTATTTTATAAATTATAGATATACACATAAAACTGTAATGATTTGTTTTTTGTTTTTACAAATTGGAATAACAATATTGCTTTCAATATTGAGCCAATGGGAGTTTTGACAGACAAAGGTATTAATAACAGTATATTCATAAAAAAATTAAATAATAGTAAATATATGAGTAAAATAATAGATATTAATTTTTATCTATAAAAAAAAAAAAAAAAAACTTTTTCTATCAAACAAAACTACATTCACCTACATAAAAATGTAAAAACTAGCTAGTACAATGAACACTAAATACAGATTTTTCATTAAACCTATAATAACTTGTAAACTATAAGTTAATAGAAATAATTTAGAAGCTTTCTTAGAGATCAGTTTAATTTTATACTTCATCAATATCATTTTAATAAAATATTAAACTTGATAAACAAATAATTATTGCACATTATATTTCTTTCATATTATTTTCCAACTATAGTGTTATAAATAATAGTTTATACTTTACTACAAAGTTTAATTCATAAAAATATTTTCTATAATATAGTTATTATATTTATAACACTTTAAACTATAACTAAGGTATACTTCAATTAATTTACTAAAGCAGTATGAATGTATAATGATTAATAATTAGGATATGTACAAAATTGTATGAACATTAAATCATACTCGTTTGAGTAGATAAGAAAATATTGTTATAGTTCCCATACAAAAATAATATGTTAGATTAATTTACATAAATAAATTATCTTTCTGAAAAAAGAGTATGTATTATAGTATTATAGTTTTTGTAAATTTTGAATTAATTATCTTGTTATGTATTAGTTATAAGTTATTAGTTTAAGTACGTTCATTACCCAATATGACAAATAAAACTTTAAACACGATGAAAAAAAAAATAAAATTAAAATAATTTTATACCTATATATGCACATATAAAGGAACTTCACGATTGAATATGGAGAAATCAAGAGTAAAATTTTACTTTTTAAATAATAAAATTAAACAAAAACTGAAAAAAAAAAAGGAATATAATAATTTTTGGTATAATATTCTGCACAGCATCAAATATATATTTACAAAACTTTTTTATTGTAAAATTACATAATTTATACCTATGCAATTTATACATGTAACCAGCTCAAATATTTATTTGCTAAATAATTTAATGCGCTATTGATAACTTAAACATATTATAGACATTCTATATGTATTGAAAACTATTTTATGGAACGGCACACAAATTTCAATAGCACTATGAAACTTGTTACCTAAAATGTGAAGTACAACCAACAGAAAAAAAATGGAGAAAAACTTCTGTAAACTAATGATAAACAAAAATAAATCAATTATATATACAAAATTAATAATTTTTTACCTTATTAGACAGGAACTGTTTGACTATAATCATAATTCTGGTATAGTTGATCACAGTGATTTTGAGATTCTACAATTACTTTAGTTTGAGAATGATGATTTGATCTGTCATCATCATTCTCTTTCATTTCGATTTCTAAGTCATCTAATGTTGTACCAGAATCGTTTGGTGTCAATGTAATTAAAGAATTTACTATGGTAGGTTGTATAGGTTGACGTAATACTTCAGGAACATATTCATAACCATATGAATGATCACGTCTTCTAGCTGGACTTGGTTGAACTGTACGAGGATTTCTCACCTATTGACACAAAATATATTTTATGGCATATCATTTAAAATTTAACAATACAATGATATTACATAATATGTATTGCATAATATATGTTAACAGTACAAAATTCGAAAATAACTCACTTGATATAGTATAGGACTCCATGCAGTACAATGTCGGAAGAAACATTGGGATAGAGTAAATGTTAATGTGATTATAAGTCCCACCAAAGCAAATAAAGTTATGTCGTGAAGTCCATGACGTAACATTAATAATGAAGTAAAGCTAACTTGTAATAACACTATAGAAACCATAACACAGTTGATGGCTGAACTATGAATACGCTTACTGATTTTTGATTTGCCATATGCAAAATATATATTATAACGATCAACAAAATGTTTATTAACCATATATAAAAGACCTGAAAAAGTGGAAAAAATGTATACTAATTTTAAAATATAATTAAAAATCAAGATCTTATATTATTATTTTATATTATAAACAAGAAATTAGCCTGAACTTCAATACTATAAGTATATAACTATAATTAGTGTTACATAAAAACAAATCAGACATAATTTATGATAAAATATATTTAAAACATGGAAAAATTAAAGAAAACATAATTATGCTTTTAATAACCAATCAATAAACTATTAATTTAAAATATTTTTTTTTTGCAATAATTTTTCATTATAGTAGGTAATGTTGGTAAAAATATAATAAATATGGTGATAGTTAATATATATATATATATAATAAACAACATCAATATGACTATTAGTTAAGTTCTTTTCTTTTCTTTTTTCTATAACACTGAAGAGAATATTACAATTATTTCCTGTATTAAAGGATGTAAAATCATAAAAAAGGTTGGTTGAAAAATAATCTAATGTCAAAATTGCTGAAATATACTAAAAATTCTAAATAAATTTAATAATTTATGTGGTGACTTACAGCAAAAAATTAAATGGAATACTTCTTTTTAATAATATTTTCAGTCCTAATTTTTGCTTACTTACCAAAGGGTGTGATTAGAGGACAAGAAAGACTGTAAACTGTTACAATTGAAAATATAAGTAACATCCAAGCATATTGAACACCAAATGGAAATTCCCAAAGAATTAATCTTCTGGCACTTGCGGATTCTGCCTTTGATCTAAATAAAGTAGATTGATTTTTTTAATTCTGAATGGATAGTTTTCTATTTTGTATAATTTATCGTGTAGTAAAGTTAGTAAAGTGTACCTACAGTTTCATAAAACATATTATCAGGTAATTTTTAGTTATTAGGCTATTTTTCAATTAATTTGATTATATCAAGAAACTAAATACAAAAAATAATTTTTTTGTAGTTTTTATTTAAAGTCAGTAAATCTTTACTGACATTATAAATCTTGATATCTTTAATATAAGATTCGTTCAGTGAAATTCTATCAAATAATTGAATTTAAAAATACATGCATCTCAAATGTCTTAACAAAATGTTTTTTGATGTTTTAAAAAATTTAATTATTCAATTTAGGGCATAAAGAGTGACGAATTTCAAAAATGTATTAATTTAAATTTTCTTCCAGTACAAATTTAATTGTTGGTAAATTATTTTGTAGAACTAATTTTTTTTCATTTCAACTAAAATTCAATGAAATACTTTATTTTAAATACTCTAGTAAATTGAAGAAATAAAAAAATTTATTGTTTACTCATATAAGCACACACATGAAATATAAAACACATAATATAACACACGAGAAAAAATATTAATTTTTATATTATTAACAAAAAAGAAATCATAGTAAATACAAGCAATACATTTCATACTTAAATTAATAACCTAATCCAGTTCCGTGATCATTGTATAAGAATTCTAATCAGAAGTTTAATAGTGTCCTTGCATTTACATGAGACTAGGAGTTTTTACAAAAGTTCTTTGTTGTATAAAATCTAGTAGGAAAGTATTATTTTTTCCTAAATCATTATATATGAATATTACTTAACAGTTGAAATAAATAAATGACTCATTGAAACAAACTATTTAGATATGACTAGAGAGGAGATTCATTAACTCAGAACTTTTACTTCATAATCACAGGGTAATATTTAAAATATTTTTAAAATAATATTCCGTTTATATTATTAAAATATATTACTTAAATAAAATTATTTATAATGTAATGTAGTATACATAGGATTAACTGACATACCTTGACAATGATAATCGAAGAGCATACATAAATAACTCGGGAAATCGTATAAGTTCTAAACTAGTACCAATAAGAGCAGACGTAACAACATAGTTCACAAAGAACGCACCTTTATCAGGCAAAAATACACATTGCCAACGATATGTTTCAATACCAGCTTGAAATGCAAACACTAGGAATGCTTGGGCACTAAATTGAATAACCAAAAAATAATATTATAATTTATTAAAAACAACTACTTTTTTTTACATTTATATCTTACCTTGTTAATCCTAAAGAAGGTAATATTAAACCCATAAATAGAAGAAATACAAAAGTTTTACGCATAATGGAATGGTTTCTTTTAGATCTTGTCCAATGACTGAGCCATTGATCAGATCTTATAACTAGTACAGGTAATAATGCAGCAGCAGTCCACAATAATAATGTTGGCATAAATTCTGATAATATAGGACTCTGTAATTATATAAAAATATGTATAATAATAAACATGTTAAGTATAATTTCACACTCTGAAATATCATAAATTTTATCTTACAGCTTTTTCTATCTCTCTAAGTTTAAGAGTATCCATTACATTTAAAACAATCACTGGAGTGGTCAAAAAAAATAAAATTATCACCAAAAATGAATTTGTTAATACAATCTTACAATAACGATTGTGAGATGGTTCGGTCAAATTTTCCCTGAAAACAAATAAAAATAATAAATTATATAAAAATAAAAATTCATTTTCGTCACAAATTAAAAATTTTGTATAGAAACATCAATCATATAAAATAATATTATAAATATATATTAATAATTATTAAAAATAAATAAATAAAAAATATTAAGCATAACAATAATAATATAAAGTAAAGTAATTTGAATATACAAATTTTTTTTTTTTGCTCTACGCGCCATTTAAGCGTTTCGCAGCTTCTTCTTCTTAAATATACAAAATATTTACCAAAATATATCATCAGGGGGAGGAGCAAAAGTTACTCTCCAGCGATATGGTTGAAGAGGGCCAGCCACAGAACTAGTTGGAGGATTATGGCGACCACATTTAGACAATTTGTAAACATGATCTTGATAAATGAGTCTGGCAGCATGAATTGTAGTCATAGTAACAAAAGCTATACCAAGAGGTCTCTTAAGAGCCGATTCTTTTTCTGCTTCTAGCTAAAATAAAAGCAATAACTTAAATTCTAATATTCTAATTCAATAGTTGAAAATATTTACTTTAAAACAATAAAATAATATACATATATTATATATTTTATAGCAATTTATTTTATAAGGAAAAAACTTTAATTTTGAATCACAATCTTAAAAAATACACGCTTTTCTAAACTATAATTAACAAAATATTCTTAACAATTGATTTACTTGCAAAATTATTAACCGTTGCGATATGAGACAAAATATTACATTTGACATCAATAAAAATAACAAATAAGCCTCATCTAGTTTCGTGATCATTGTTTAACAATTCTGGTCACAAGCCAATCTTGTCCTTGCACACATAACTAGGACTTTAAACAAAAAACACTTCATTGCATAAAATCTAGTTGGCAAGTTTTATTTTTTTTCAAAATTATTATTAATGAATTATTATTTTATATTCATAATAACTAATTTTCATTGAAACACAAAATTTTAGACACAGCTTTAGACCAAATTTATCAACTCAGACCTTTTACTTCATAATCATTGGCTAATATTTATGCAATATCAAATTATATCATTTTAGTTCAATTTATATTTAAAATAACAGTACATTTGTGTTACTAAATTTAGTTATTTAAATTGAAAACTAAAATAAATCAAGTGTAATTTAACATTTGACAAAAAATATATTTCAAAATTGTTAAAATGGCTTAAGAAAATTAAATGTTATCTAGTTTTAAGTTATAATGAAATATATTTATTTTTTATTTCATACACATATACTTTATATAAGTTCCTTATTACACTTTATATGTAAATACTTCATATTGTTTTATATAAAATATACTAAAAATGTAGTTCATAATAAAAATTTATTAAATAAAAATTAGAACCATTTACAAAGTATAACTTGTCAACATTTAATTCACACACCTAATTATATCATTACAAATATTATTCATTGAAAATAAATTATTTTTTCGGCAATCATTTATTTATACATTTTATTTTTATTAGATCATTTGAACAAATTAAATAATCTCATGAGCAATAAAATTATTTAGGATTCAAATTTTCATATTTAACTGTTTATTTTTTGAATTTAATGAGCCAATCAATTTATGTGATAATGTCGAATGTAGTAATAAATTTATTTATATTGTACAGTGTTTTAGAAATTTAAAACAATCTCACTACATTGATCGAATTAACTGCGGTGTATTTAAAATCGGTTAATTCAATTACTCAGTTTCCTTGCCATTTAAAATGTTAACAATTTTAATTAAACTTTAAAATCTGATATTTTTTTAAAACATTTTCTATTTTTTCTTGAACTACTTTTCCTATTGGATCAAGAACTTTACTTAATTTTAAATTAATATTTTGCATTACTTCAATCGCACGATGTAATGGAATATTTTTTATTTCGAGACTGGTAACCTATATCTGTTAGAAATCCAAAATATGTTTGATAAATATTAAGTCCTAATGAAAATTTTATATTGTGGATAATGTATTTACTGTTAATAAATAAAATTAATCTAATCAGCGACTCTTGAGACATGTTTCTAGAAAAAATATATACTAATAATATATATATATATATATATATATATATACTAAATAACATAGGTAAATTAAAAATTTAAAACTATTTACAATAATAATACAATACTTTGAAATTATAATTTTTAATGAATATTGATATGTTGGGTAGTTGTATAAAGGTGAGCCGTGGACATGGTAAGTATAATATTTTCAATAATATAAATATTATACACAGTTGTGTGCATTTTTATAATATTTTAAAATTGATATTTATTGCAAAATTGATATGCATGCAGTTGCATACAATATTGTGTGCTCGATAGAGATAGTCTGTAATAATCTACCATAATTACCGACTCAAGTTTATAAGTAGTTAAGATTCCAACTTGTAGTATTTTGTAGGTATATCTTGTTTTCAAGCCTGGGAGTTAATAAGTTAAAAAATAAGTAAAAGTTAAATTAAATTAACTTATTAACTTAAATTATTTCATTACTAATAAATTAAATTAACTTATTTCCTTACAAATTAACTTGAAATTAACGTATTATTTTTTCGTTTCTCCCAATTAAGTTAATTTTGATTTTCAATACCAGAAAAATATTTTTGTAAAATATTGCATTCCATAATAAGTTCATGGAATTTAAAAAAATATAAAAATAAAAACGTCGAAGAATTTTTAAATGAGACCATAATATATATCTCGATATTAACTATTGACAGTAGGGGACCTACTGTTCTCAGGAAAAGTAATCAACAGTCTTCAGACTATTGAGTAAAAATAGTCATGCCATCCATAAATTACATTGCTATTGTCATGAAAAATGGCCATAAATCTATATAATAAAAATAGGTACATCATTGACTAAATAATTCTTAATAGTAATTCTACTCTATTATTATTAAAATTATTCCATAGTCTATGATATTATTAAATATTATTAAATAAGAGAAGAAATGTAAGAATTTAAAACTACTTACTTCTGCTTTCAATCGAGCTTCTTCTTGAGAATAGTAATCAATAGCATCTACATTATTAGAACTACAAAAACCACAACAAATACAAATATAGCCACAAATATGAGGCTGTACAGTAAGACGTTCACCTACAGTTTTCAAATGATTTTCACAATATTGTTTAGCTTGAACTGCAGCATTTCTAAAATATATAAATATATGAATTTAAAAAAAATATTAATATTAATAGTTATTAATTATTAAGTCAAAATAACAAAAATCTAAATTTTTTTTTAGTTATTAATAACACAGATTAGATTATTTATTATTTCGACTGAATTATATTTAATTTTTATTAAGTTTACCTATCTCTATCAAGTTCATTAGCTTTATTGACATCATAGGCAAGCTGAATATTTTCTACTTCACAATCTGGGTATGCCTCTCTGAAAAAAAATAATATTTTTTGTTAAAATTACAACATTAACACAAAGTAAAATTAAAAATAATTTAAATATATGAAAAATAAAATTTAACTGACTTAAAATGCCGATCCATATCATTTATGTCAGAATTACGTCTTGGAATATTTGTTATCATCAGAGTACGAGACCAACATTCACCATTTTCTTCTAATTTAAGATTTACAGAAAACCTTCTCATAATACAAATGGTTAATGGAAAATATAACATGGCTATAGTTACATGAACCCACAGCCAAGGAGAGCTGGAAATCAAATAATTGTAAAATAAGTTAATTTTGGTATAAATTACAAAATAAAAATTGAAAAAATCTAGTTATTTTTTAAACTAGTTAATCATGTAAAAAGTGAACACAGTGATCGCCAATCACATTGATAACATAATCAGACAAATAACACTAAACGAAAGTTGATAAAATAATAAAACATACGTTAAATAAAAAAAAAAAATAATGTAGTGTTGCATCAAATTTTATAATCATAACACAAATTTGTTAAAAATATAATTATTTTATTTATTATTATTTATTTATAATTAAAATACATATGTAGATATAAATTGGTAATTTAAAATTTTTGAAAAAAAAAATAAATTGTAAATAAATATAAGTACTACCACTAACTTAAAGAATATTTTTTTATTGATGTGTTTTTTTTACCGTTAGAAGACCATTGATAAAATGTTTGTATTTGTATTGTAATTTTTATATTTTTATTTTATTTTTATTATGAGCCATTCGGAGAAAAATTTATATATTAAAAATACTCATATATTATGATGATTTTATGACCTCAAACTGATAATATTATGCGGCGTATTGATGACAATAACCGACATAATTTACACATAAAAATACATCTAACCTATACTTATACTTTTTGATAACAATAAACGTTTGGTAACATTAACTGTGATTATAATAAGCAGGGACCATTGTACATTAAATTATACATATTTCAAGTAAGATTGCTCAAATATTTATGAGTAAAATAAATTAACATTTAATTTACATTTCAAATACTTCAAATAAAAAACTTAAAATCTTATTTAAGTAATTTGTCGAATTAACTCTCAGAAACAAATCAAAAATATAAATAATATATAAAGTAAAAATATAAAAATAAATCACATAAGACATGAAACTATTCCATTTAAACAAATTTTATACTTATTCAGGATTTTTTTGGATAGGTTTCACTTTAACATTTTCAAAAAATATAGCAAATAGTTTAGATAAACTGATCATAAATTTAAATAATGAGAAACATCATTCTAATGTGACATAACACAAATCATGTGTTATGTAAAATGTATGTAATTTACATTAACTTGATAAAAATAAACAAAATATATAATTACTTTATTTTCAGAATTTTTAACTATAACAATATCTAATTTAACTTACTCTGGCTGAAGATTGCTAAGTGTAGTATGTCCAAACGATCTTTCATCACCTTCTAAATCACCAGCAAAATTAATTGGTAATACAATACCTAAAGAAACTGCTGTAATTATAGCCATTAACACCATTATATGCCTCTGGAATGATAAGTATTGAACGGCATCATAACCACATTTTCGCAAAATTTTTTCATCTCTAAAATGTTATATATTATATTAAATTTATGGTATGGTACTTTTTCACTGAATAAATACAACATAATGAATTATTTCATATATTTTATATTACCTAAGTTGTATAATTGTTAAAAACCAGGAAAAAAGGCCTCTATCTACAGGCATTGAGTTATCTAAATTAGTGGTAGAATTACCATCTTCAACATTATTTTCTGAATTTTCATCAGTTGTTCCATAAAAAATACGAGACCACCTGGATAAATGTAATTAAATTTGTTCAAAGTTCAAACAAATTAAAATAACTATTGTATATAAGTATTTTAAAATTTAATTTATACTTTTCATAATCTTTATTGACTAGCGCTAAACGACCATAATCCCATGCCCTTTTTCTCATGAATGCAAAAAATAAAACTAGTAGCTGAAAAATAAATAATAAATCATAGGTAATATTCTAATAAACTAAATTGCTACTTACACATAATTTATAATTTTAGATAATAATATATTTTTACTTACAATACAACCTAGGACATTGAGTAAAAGATTTTCAGGTATTCCTTCATAAGCTGTAATAATCAATCTATTTCTTGTTCTATTGTAATAGTTACATTTTTCTTTATCGGCTGGACCATTAAATTCACGAAACATATTATCACCCATTTTGCAATAAATATAACGTAACTGAAATACATAAAATAAAAACACATTTATTAGAATGAAAACACGAAATATTCAATAAAATAGTATTAAAACTGTTTTAACAGGTTAACTGTCACAACTTTTTTTAATGCTTTTACCATATTGTTAAATATGCCAGTTATTGTACACAGCTGAACATAACTTTTGTGCTACATATGCATTTTAAAGTGCACTCAAGTTATTGACAATTATAATAGTGTATGCCAAAATGGATACATGTAAATATGATTTTTCTATAAGAGATGTTTTAGTGGCACCCAAGTTATGTTGCAATATATGTTTGTGTTAATTAATATATTATAACTATTAAAATACTAAAAGTATGAATTTAAAAATTAATTTTTCATTACAACAGATAATATTGTAACAAATGATATGCGTTGCTTGGCAATAATACATACCATATATGGTACACGTGACAGTTAACCAGTTAATACCTGAGTAAAAATACTTAATTTGTCAGTTAAATAAATGTTAAAATATTAAGGAAAAACAATTAGAAATTATAAAAATAACCAACAGTATTATCATATTATTATATTATAAAAAAAATTATCTATTAACTATATAATTTAAATAATAATAAAGAAACTGAATTAATATTCATATTATTAATTATTAAACAAATCATGCATTCAAAAGAATGATCAAAACGAAATTAAATTATTTTATCATGTCTTAGAACTATTAGCATATATAGTATATTTCTTTTGGACAATTTTAAACAAATTTTCTTAAACTACAACATTTAATTTTGAATTTACATAACAATCTATAATTTTTTTTTTTTTTTTTGTGTATTTTTAGTTTAATTTTATTTATCAGGATTGGAAATAACATACAGATATTAACTGTAAATAATGTATGAATAACATGGCTACTGATTTTAGGCCTTTAAACTCAAATTTATGAATTTACGAGCCAATTTATAAATTATTGTTAATCATGATAATCATTAATTTTTTTACAACTTGAATTGTTTACAACTTCATGGTGAACAATTTTTGATTTATTCTTACATCTATGTTTTACTATTGGTTATTATTTCAATTTCAAGTTGAACATTTTTTTGAAAAACCACTAGAAATATTAATAAATTTTCAATTACTTATAGTTGTATAATTTAAAAAAGTTAGTATTTATTTTTTTTTTAGTTAAATCACATGGATAATTTATTCTCCAATAGGAATTTGTTTTAATATTTAATATATTGTTTTTCTAAAGTATTATTATATACATGAATTAATCAAACCATAAGATTCATGGCATAATGGGGAAAAACATAAATACTTTTTTCAAGGACTCAGGAAAATCATACACCAATATTCAAGTATAGGTAATACGGACAAATATTAAATTAAATATTAAATATGTTATCAATAGCTCATAATTAATCAAGAAAAATAATCAACAGATAAAATATTTATTGTTAATCATTATTAAAACTTATCAACAATATATTAACATATAATCATAATTTATTTAACTATACATTTATATTGATATTGCATAAATAGCTTAATAAAAAGAAAGTAATAATAAATATTCATTCTAAACAATTAAATAAGTAATACTTAGTATATTACATTCAATTATTTTATCTCAAGGGAAATTATTTCTTGTACAGGCTAATATGCTAAACTATAATAAGTATTCAATTTGTGGTGTAGGTTAAAAAAAAATTAAATTAAATTATCCTATTACTAAAATTAAATGCAAAGAATTTTTTTTACTGGCAAATATGTGGTGATAAAACCAACCAATTTGTTGGACTCAATTATTATGGGTCATCCTCTGAGAATAGGACACTCCCAACTGAAAATGTTTAAAATAACAATTACTTATATGATTGTGAACTTTCAACCAAATGTATCCAATAAACCAGTGTCGTTCTTGAGATTAAAATGAGATATTCTGGTAATGGCGAGTAAATAAAAACCCGTCTGATAAAGAAAAAGAAAAAAAGGAAGGTTGCATTTGTCTCGTTCGCAGATCAAGTTACGTAGCGTGCACAGCTGTCTGAGTTCGTACGAGACATAAAACTATTAACAGTCCCAGTGGATGTCCAGACAAGTACTGGCAACGTTATTAGGAGCGGGTGAACCGACAATTCAAAAAAAAAAAAAAAACCACCTATAAGTACTTAAAAGTTCTTACTCGGCCGTCGAGTCAAACAGCTGGGTCGTCGTCGTCGCGAATCTGCTCTAGATCTCAGTCCATCGCAGTCGGACACACATTGTGGAAACGATACGCGATATCAATACGCGTACGGCCAACTGCTGTTACGGATCGTTTCCACTGTTATTGTTGTTGAAAAAACGTATCGGCAGCGTCGGTGCTGGGGACCCGTAAGTGTGTGATAAGAGCGAACGGGGGAACGACGGCGACGGCGGCGGCCGAGAGCACGGGACGTCCCGTGACTACCGTACTAATTGATAAAATAATAGCTCGACCGGTGGGAGGATGGAAAAAAGTGGTAGGTCGGTTAGAAGATGATAAGTACGACCGGACGCGAGCGACGACGATTCGACTAACGACTAATATTCTTAGCCGCGATCCGGAATAACGCGAGTGCCGACAATGCGACGGTGCTCGGCGACGTTCGGTACAACTCACCCACCACTTCGTTAGCAGTCGTTACCGGTAGGTGGAGGGACGGTACGCGGAAAACGTCATTTCACGGCTTACGCGGTCCCGAAGACGTGTCGTCGGATTTTCGGCGGTCTCCTCGTGCCGTTACCGCGGTGCCGCGGTATCGATTACGGCTTATTGCGACGAATGCGGATTACCAAGGGCGTGTTACGGTTACGCGCCACGGGACAACACGTTTCGCGGCGGATACGTAGTGATAATGTTGCGCGCTACGTGTCCGTACGTGCTGTTACAACTGGTGCCGCGACATCGTGATATTGTTGAAATCGCCGCGGCGGAGGTGATAAGGACAGCACGGCCGATCGATAAGAGTGATTTTCTCGCGAGCGTGCGCCCAAGTTCTCTCCCCCTCCCCCTACCCTTCTCTTAAACACCCGACGCTCGTTCGCTACGATGTCGGCAACCTAACGCAATCGCTACAACCACACCCGTCGTCGCTCGGTACATCAGCCGCCGCAACGCCTACAACTACCACCGCCGCCGTTCTCGCTCCAAAACATGTATACGGTTACCACGCACGCGCTGCGCACGGCCGCGGTTGAGTCATAGTTATATCTATGGCCGTGGTCATCGCCGATCGTGTTGTCTTTTTAAGCAATACGATCGTACAAAATTGTTTAACACCTTCGTGCATAGATAACGAACGCTCCGAACGATGAGCTCTCTCCCGTGTGCCGACCGTTACTTTTCCGGTGGCGATCGACCGACCCTGGTAATCGCCAGGTAAGACGCAGTATCGGTAGACGTTATCTTCGTGAAAAAATTAACACAAAATTAACATACAAAACACAAACGAGGGTAAAGTACAACGTACAGTACAAAATGAATAACACAAGTAATCATTAATAACAATCATATTATTTTCTGATAAACAATCGTATCAATATCCGTGCTTATAACGGGCAAGTTTTTCCAAGGTTAAAGGTTTATATGTATTAATTATTATTTAAACCTTTGAAGTTTTTATACAAAACAGAATAGGTCAATTTTAACTACTCTGTAGTTGTTTCGTGCAATTTACGGTAAAAGTTTTTTCCCGTTTACGTAAAAAAATAATATTTTATGTGGTTACAACTTATATTTGCACAGAATATAATAATATATACATATTAGACGTTTAGATATGTATTTATGGAACCAATGGGGGAGGGGTCTGGACCCTATGGACCCCCCCTCTCGTAAATATACCACTGCCAGAACCTCTAACCCCGGCCCAGGGGAGGCTCGTCAGGGGATACTTTGAGACTGCGTCTCCTCTCAAAAAAAACTGCTTGTAAATAATAATTATTTAAAAATATATAGAAATATTTTTATTTTCATATTGAAAATATGATATAGCGTTTTCTATATTTATCATTATAAATTTAAAGCCATAAAATATAAAACCTATAAATAGTTCTTTCGATGGAAACACTTAGTCATTTCGACGACAGTCGCCGTTTCAGTGAAAGTAAAGGTTTGGCTTGTTGGACGGAGGAGGCCGAGAAGAGTAATCAACTTATTATAAACGCTATTGAATTGGGTTCATGACAATAATTTCCGTGCCATCGCGCCGTCGTTAGTCGCTGTACACCATCATCTACGAATTCGCAGATAAAACAATTGCAGTATTGAATTAGTTTATAAAAAAAATTATCATAAAATTTTAGTTAAAAATATTAACTAAATATTAAATGAAGTATTAAGTATGATTCACACTAGTCAGACACGTACCGACAGACACCGTACTGTTCCGTTCAAATATATTATACTTATTATTGGTCCCATACCTACATTTTCGCTACAACATCGTAAAGTGACTACACAAGTTTCCCTCTTTTCCCCTTTTTTTATAACTCGTCGGAGTTTATGTTAAATAATTTAAATTCCCCTAGAATATTTATTATGAGTCGCTACTGGTAATCGCTAAAGTTTTATGCTTCATTATACATTTGTAAACTGCGGAACGTTCAGCGGACAGGGTCAATATTTAATTAGTCAGGTTACTAAACAATTCATTATGTGACTTGCGTACGTTAAATTTTAATATTGATTAGATGGGGAACAGGTGTAGCATACCAGGAGCTTGGAATCGTATTGTTCTCTACACTACGAACACATCTCATTTCTGACGCACGTGGTTTTTCGAAGTGTTCGGAAATCATGAAAATGACTTTAAATGTTTTAAATGAATTAGTAAGAGTGTTGTCAACGTGTCATAATAGTGTTGTAAATTTGAGGCAGCATTCATTTGCGTATGCCATGAATTCAATGTCACTGTTACATGACTGAAAAACTGTTCTGGTCAGACCTCTGGAAAACCAGGCCGATATTCAACGGAGTGGTGTTTGCGAATATGAAAACATCAAACTAGAACATAATATATTCAGAAATACGAACGTACATAAATGTTGTCTAAATGTCAAAATAATGTATAAATAAAAGAAGGTCATTGAAATCTACGTGAAATGTACAGCAGCAGGTAAATCGTACTTCATTCCAAGCCTCGAACATGACTGCAACGATGACGATGACTCATTAACGGTTAATAAGTTGCGACTAGAGTAATCGACAAAAACGACATTTACATCATCAGGCGAGTAATTCGATAAAAATAAGCACTCGAATCAAGATTTCATGTACATCGTGAAATATTAACGACTATCACAGAAAGGTTAGGTAATCAATCTCCGCCTGTGCCCGGTGCTCCGCCCAGTGGCGCTGAATACTTATTCAATGTGGTGCATTTGCACCACCTAAAATTTGGAGGTGGGTACTGGGTCTAAATAATTTTGAAAAACTGGTACTTAGTTGCTAGTTGTTATTAGTTACTAGATTCCCTACTTAATACAAACATGATAATATTTTAATCATTAATGATCAAGTAATGTCTGGGTAGGGATGGTTGGGTTATTAAAATATATGTTTGCACCAATGGCGTACTAACGAGGGAGGGATAAACCCCCCCCCCCCCCGAAATTTTTAGAATGAATTAACTTTTTATGAGAAAACTAAAATATCTGGTACCTGTAATATCATATTGTACTTAGGTATTACAAATTCTCCATCATAATAAAATAAACAGAGTACATTTTAAAATACCTTTGTACTATAACTTTATACTATCAATTATTCAGAACCTTATACCAAAGAAACTAATAAAATTATCCGAAAATGAAATCGAGACAAGTACGCTATTGATGTCAAAACAGTGGCCATTCATAATAAGCTCATGTGACAATATTGTAAACAAAGAAGTTTTATTGTGGAAACAAAGATGGATAGCCGCAGAAAATAATCTTCCTTGCACTTTTATAGATGCAATTAGTTGTTATGATGAGTTACTGTTCCCTAAAGTATACCAATATTTAAAAATTGGCGCTACGTTACCCGTCACAGTTGCCAGCGTAGAACGGAGCTTTTCAACGTTGAAACGTATTTATAATTTATTGAAATGTATGATATGTTTTTTTATGTTCAGGTGTCACGCCATCCAATATGTTAATTTAAAAATTAAACTCCCCCCCCCAAGTTCAGGTCTAAGTACGCCACTGGTTTGCACTACCTATTAAAAAGTAGTTCGACGCCACTGGCTTTGCCTCCGTAGCTCCGTCCGCTACACCGTCGTTCTCTACGTCGTCTGTGTTCCACCGGTATTGCGTTCGCCATCGTATCAAGCGCTTCGGCACCAACACCCAATCTCAACCAGGGCCGTTCAGAAGGGTGGACAACGGGACCATTTTGCCTCAGACCCCATTGTTGGAATATTTTTTAGAGGGCCCCCATAAAGTCTTGATGTATAATAATTAATAATAAAGCCTCGATTATGCTGAGAAATTTTACACGCTGCATGTCGGCGATTAAATGTAATGCGCGGTTAATTATACTATATTTTAACATTAGTATTTAAGTTATCGTTCAAAACCATAAAATGATTAGATTGATTGATGGTGTTCACATTTTTGACGTTTGGAAATTATGCTTTCGCCATACTATACTGTAATTTTACTCAAATGGGTTAGACCTTAAACTTATTGCGAAAAGATTTATATCCTACATGATAATATGCTGTGTGCCGTGCGTGTAAGCCGAAGAATACAAACGAGTATACAGTGCCCTCTTATAAGTTATAGGTACAAGTTATAAATGAAATATAATATGTTTAATAATCAATAGTGATATCCCGGCTTTTCGAAGCCTCGGGGATACACACGAGTACATTTATTATTTGTAAATATACATATGTATATACAGAACGTCATGAATATCTACATGACATACTTATATATACATTAACGCTGTGATGTTTTACGCACATACTATGTATGGTATGTACGTATATAATTATACTCGTAAAAACAAACATGAAAATGATTAAATATTTTCAAAAAATAATATTTTATACATATATTATGATATAGCGCACGACTTGGATACTTTATAGTATAATACATTAATATGCTTTAACCATAAGTTCATAACCTATTTTATGGTCGTGGATTAAACTTTACTTGTGTATTAAAAAAAAAAAAAAAAAACAATGAAGCAACATACAAATTTATTGTTCGAGCATCAACAACTATAACAACTTGCTAACATCGATAACATCATATAATTAAAAGTTATGACAACGTATTATATTTTGTTTTTTTTAATGCATAACACAACATATACCAGTACGTCACAATCGCACAGTCACACCCATACATATTTGCATACCATTTCACACATTTACATACCTACGATAATTATTATTTTAATTTTATTTTATTACTTATCTATTTTATTTTTATTGTTTTTATAGTTAATTACAATAAATTATATATTTAAATTTATTTTCTTTAATATAAAATGTACGTAATAAATAGTACTTTCCATTATCATATAAGATGTTTGTCTTAAATACCTATGTCAAATTATTAATTTTAAAAATATATATAAAGCACCATATGTATAAATAACTATATATTAAAAATGCAAACAATATAAGTGGCAAAATATGAGCTTATACAAATTGTATGAAAATGAGTCACATATAACAAAATATGAAATAAAATAATAAATGAGTAAATTTAACATAAATTATAATGATTAATCTTGATTATTTATGCGACAGTTTCTTTTAAATGATTTCTTTCTTGCATTTTTCACTGTGTGTGGTTTACTTAACAACTTTTCAGGTGTTTCAATTCAGTTTTTAAATATTCTTCGTTGACTAATGGTTCAAAGGACAACTCTCGAGTGTGTCCCAAAATGTCCCTTATTTAATGTTCCGGATGCGTCCGGAATAAGGTCTCACCCGAGTGCATCCCAAGAGAAAAAGGTTAGGTACTACTTGGACGTAGCCTAAGTGCATCCCAGTTCATTTAGAGTTACCCAGGGTGCACCACGAGGAGGTGAACTGGCTTACACACCAAAAATATTTGGTTATTTAATTATAATATTATATTTATTATAAAAGTTTATTATTATATAAGTTTAATTAATTATTTAGGCATACATCCATTTTTAAAATGTTGGGTTAATATTTAAACTATTTTTTTGGTTGACTTTTCAATGCCATGATTTTCACATAACCATGTCTAGACATTTGTTCAGTTTTGTAATTTTTTATATTTTCTTTAATGAATTTGTTATTTTTTTCATTGACTGATTTAATTTTTTTAGGTATCTATACGACTGGAAGTTTGTGTCAACATTTTTGTATCTATTTTTTATTAATAGTTATCAATGCATTTTATCCATAAAGGTAAATATTGTTAGCAATAATATCGTGGACGCACATGGGATGTACCAAAATGTTTAGTGATATTAATACGGACGCAGTTGGGCTAATAAAAAGGGCATAACACGTTTCCATCAAAAGTAGACCTTTCCCTTTTCCACCAAAAGTATATCTTTCCCTTTTTCACCAATATCCGTTTCTATATATATATAAATATAAAATATTTTTGTATAACCCAAAATAAGTAAAAAAAAAAGATACATTTAGTTAATAGTTAATCGAATAAAAATTAGTTGAATAGAAATTAGTCAAATCAAATATTAGTCAAATGACTAGTTATACTACGTAAAATAATTAAATTAGTCATACTGTACTACTAACTAGTCACTCAGTCACTTTTTCTCATCACTATACTATACTATAGATACTTAAATCTTTTATGAGACTAATCTCATTGTCAAAACAATAATAGCAACAATAACTATAATAGCATATAATGTCAACAACAAATTTTAGTCTAATAATTTCCATAAGGCCTTAATAAAGTTTTAATTAATTTTTATGTTTACATCAGATGCTATATTTAGATAAGAGGTAAATCCAGTTCTAAAATGACGGACGAAAGGAACTGCGCTCGTATGCAACAATATTTGAAGTTATATTCTTCAGATTTTTTCATTTTTCTTGTTTCTTTAATGCAAGATTAATCTCCACATGCTATTAAATAAATTACAATTAAATAAGTACAAATAAATCAGAAACTTTCGCTCAATTCATTTTTTCTTAAATCGTTTAAATTTTTTTTTTTTTTATGATTATAAATACCTGATTTGTATTAAAACTTCTAAGAAAAAAAAAAAAATAAGTAAATAAAAATATCCTTGTGGTCAAATCTTTTATTATTCTTATTTTAAGATGAAATATTTTACATATTAACTTAAAAAAGTTTTAATTTTTATTCTCAAATTAAAATAAAAACTTAGAAGTTTTCGAAATGATTAAAAAATATATCATACATAATATGTATGTGTATTATATATTATATTGTTTATTACATATTTAATAAAATAAAATAAATTTGCATAATTGTTTGTACGTAGATAAAAAATTAAAACTAAAAACATGCAATGTAATGTATTGTCGCGTCCTGCGTAGTCACATGATAAAATACATCACAAGGAGGTTCCCATGAACATCAAAAACCACAATTGTGTATAAGTTAGATTATATAGATATTGTGTTCACGTGGTTATTACACTGGAAATTACAATAAGGAATTAGAATATCGAAATGACAAGCGTGGACAAGTAAAAGGGTTCACATAAACGTTTTTATGGGAAATTTAAATAAAATAGTTAATGGAAATAGTAGTGACCACATCCTGGGCATCTGAGTCAATAATTATGTCACGGTCCGGAGATAGCGCGCACACACTTACAATCAATAGGAAATTATCTTATTTTATTATCAGTTTTCATATACACACACACACTTGCATATATCAGATATAAAAGGGACCCAAAAACAAGGACAAATCAGACGAGTTTTGGCTATGCTGCACTGAGCACCTTCACGTCAGTGTATGTCATGGCCCGGACTTAGAAATATTTCAAACTATTTTTATAAATTACAATTGTAAGGACTTAGAATAATTTCTATAATCCAAATTATTTGGACTTAGAATATTTACAAATTGTAGTTAGAATAATTTTATAAGTTTAATAAATTAAATTATTATAATTATCTTAATTATTCTTCACTACACCTACATCCAAGCGTTGACTAAGACATTAGCATTGAAATCACGGATCAAACGGTTGGCACGTAACAGTATGTATTATGTAAAAATAATACTACGAGAAATAGAATAATAGTTCTTAGAATAAAAGTAGTGTATGCATAATAATAATACATATTATGTTTGTAAATCATAATTTTTCTATGAAGAAGTATGGAATCTATTTATTATTTTAATAAATTTTAGTATATTATTGTATTACATTTAGATAAGATAAGTAATTAATACACACGCCTATTTTATCTTATAGTTACACGTATGTTTATAGTGTAAGTACTGATAATTTAACAACATCGTAGAAGCAGAATACTATATATATATACATGTATATGGTTATTATGTATGTCTATATGATCGTGCTACACCGTTACATCAACACCGTGAAATTATCGTTTATTCGATTTTACACTACCTATTTGAATTTCACCTCACTTTCTATAATCTATTTGAACTGATCACCACTAATATATATTATTAAAAGATAAATACACGAAAAAATACTGTTATAAAATGTAATTTTGTCATCTGTAATTCAATAACGAACAAAGTATTCCAATTTTATTAAACTAAATAATATTTAATAATATACTAATTATAATTATTAACTATACAAATAGATTTTAAGCCAGTTATGAAAATAAAATGTACGAAAAAGGTTTTAACTTCCGCTTGTGAACAATTTCGTATATAAACGTATGTTAATACTTTCACTAATTATAAATTTATTGTAATAATTTTAAATAATGAATTGTTAAATATTTTTATATGTTAAATACGAGTATCTTCGTAACTTTTTCCATGTGTTAATACGTTTAAGCTCGTTAAATTACTGGATAAATCATTACTACTTACTTACTTGTACTACAACTTTGAAATATTTCTATATGTATACGTTGAGCTGGGATTTTTTTTTAAAAAATAGTGTTTCAAAACACAACGAAAATGGTATTTTTTTAGTTTTTAATTTAATTAACGTTGGTTGTGATATTCTTCTAGGGGGAATTTAGGTCCGTTGGGGCCTCTCTCCTCTGGCTGTAAATTTGATGGGGACGTTGGAAGGATTGTAAGATATTTATTTCGGAATACTGAAAAAATTAAAAGCATCAGCGTCTAGCGATACGTATTATCGCACGTGAAATTAGAATGGTTGTAAAATATCACCAATACAACTTGTAATTGAGTACGTCGTACAATTGAGATTGAGTACCTCACAGATATTTTTAAAAATATGAATTGAGTTAACTTGAAGTTTAAAGGAAATAAGATGAACTTTATAAGGCCTAAAAGGGTAATTCTTTCTTTTATTTCCAAGTTTGATCTTTAAAAAACAAACATAAATGGCCAAGAACTGGGTCAGTTTCCGAATCTCAATGTATTTTCACATGCAAATGGTATGATTTCGGTTGACAATATTCACTAAAAATGTTCATTAATCATATTTTGTAGCTAAAAAAAGGACATACCATCAAGATTCCGAGATTTACTGGAATTAAAAATTCTGAATTGAATTTTAGATCTATTTTCATTTGAATGTATTTAAATATATTGAAATTCGTTTATAAATGGAGATTATCGATCATAAACACGACTGTGAGACACAAATTATTTTTAAGCAGATCGGTTACGAGTTTGTCTGGGCAAACAATAACACTAAGAGGTAAATTATAGTTTTACAACTTATATTTGATAATTATAATAATATCATGTGGTATAGTAATACTACTAATATTAAAGAAATATACCATACATCTATTATAAACAGATAATTGGTATTAGTAATTATAATAAATGGAAAATAAAATAACTAACAAAGACAATGAGAACAATGCTCATTGCAAGAAAGGCAATTAAGTATTGGTATATTTATTATTTATCCATCCATGTAAATTATAAAATAGAAGCCCTTTCTTCAATGTACGCGCAAATCTCAAAATTAACTCAACAAATTTTAGTACAGTTATCGTCAATGGATTGATCGCGTCTCGGGGAAGGTTTTAATGTATAACTGTTGGACAATAAGTTATAAATGTTTTGTTCTAATAAGAGATCTACTTTTGATTTGTTTTTAGATTAGAAAATAAAATTATTTGTGTCATCACTTGTATTACTATTTGATACACCAGTTTCGAGAATATTTGATTCGGGACGGCCCTGCCGAGGGGAATAACGATATTATTGTTCTTTTGTTTTGTGAGGAACCGGTGCCAAGTACAGTGTTTCCCAAAAAGGATCACTCGTTCCATGCAACTTGTACGAGAAGCGTTAGCTGGCCTGCGTGTTGTCAGTTTATTCCTTAACAACGGACGGTCGACGATCGCGCATGTTCCGGGTTCTCATCAATCACTTCGTGGAGTGCAATTACACCAGTGCAGTGGACTATGGTGCGTCAGCGTTAGTGCGCTCGCGGTGCATCACGTGACGGCTGATAACACCACGGCTGTTTAAAGCTGCTGATAATGTTCTGAACACTGCGACAAATGATAGCAGTAATCATGAATGCAACCTGTTATGATTTAAATTTTTTTTTTTCAACACTACTTTTGTGGAATTTCAGAAAAAAATCTTCGAAAACGTACCGTGTTAGTTTCTTTTCCAACAGACAGTCGTACTGTAAATCTTATCGAAATGTCCGCTGATGGAAATACTAATCCATTTAAGTATTTCGTTGCCGGAGGTTTTGGAGGTGTTTGCACAGTGTTAGTGGGTCATCCATTAGACACAATTAAAGTATGTTAAAAATAATAAATTCTGTTGTTATATCATGTTCATCAGGCTTGAAGCCATTGACAGCACAGACCTTGTTCATGATAAACATTTTTGTTCTCATCTTTACTGCTTGATTCAAGTAAAATGGCAAGAGACTTATTACTTTCTCGTACAGTTGAAATTGATTTTTATATAAGTTATTGATTTTTCTTTCGTCCACGAAAAAAGATATAGCCAAAAAAATTGTGAATTAAAGTATAATAATAAATATTTTGTGAAATTTTCAATGAACTAAACATTTTTTAGAATTGACAGTTTTCTATTGAATCAATAAGATTGAGGAAATAAAAATGATGATTTAAATTTACTAATTATATAGCTATCTAATATATAAACATATATTAAATTATATTTGCTTCAGTTTATTCAGAAATTAATATCAAATATTAAACATTAGAATCTAGTTATAATATGTAAATATATTCATTAGTTATTACTGTATAATAGTTTACCTGTTATGAAGTTATTTTTTATTTAAAATTAATTTGTCGTTTTAGTTATTAAAAATATGAATCAATAGTCTATAGTGGTCCACTAGATATTTATAGTATTCCCTTATTGTTGTGTGATGTATAATTAATTTTATATTTAGGAAAATTGTGTTTTAAAATAATATATTAATGTTACTATATTTTTAAAAATCTTCTATTAGGTCAGATTGCAAACAATGCCTCTTCAGCTTGGTAAATTACCCATTTACAATGGAGCGTGGGACTGTGCTGTTAAGACTATTAAAAAAGAAGGTTTTTTTGGTTTATATAAAGGTATTATTATATACTTAAATTATTATAATAAGCAAAAAAAAAAAAAAAAAGAAGTCTTACTACCTATTACAAATATATTTATTATTGATTAATCTTTGATCTCTTTATTATTATTATAAGATGGATTATAAGACTAGAAAATTACATTGTAGTTTCACTTAAAATTTGTGTAAATGTAATTAATGCCCATCTTGCTTCAGATTGCTGTAAGGAAACGTACCTTAAATCAATTATATTCTGTAATATTTATGATATATTTGGGCATGAAAATGTGTTATTATCAGGGTTCGTAAGTTCATGCCCTAAAAAATGCCTAAATAAGCATGCATTCACTAAAAATTGGCAAAATATGCTTTGAAATATGCCTTAAAAAATTCAAAAATGTGCATCAAATGCACTTAAAAAAATCATAAATAATATTTGAAATTACATGAATTATCCATTCATTTTTTTTATAGTTATATTTTATTTTTTGTCACAGTTAAAAAAAAAATAGATTTTAAATACTATTTAATACTATTTTAGAGCCTTCATGAACTGCGTACTCATGTACTTTTTTGTCAGTTATTAATTTCAAATCTGAAACTTTTGAAATAAATGTATTAAGAAAATATGTATTTATCAAGAAGATAAGAAAAGAAAATATAATATAATTTTTATTTTTAATTTTATATATATTTTCCATCATTTGATAGATTCTAATATAATGTTGTATAATACGCCCGATAAAATAGAAATATGCATAAATATACCAAATATACAAAAATATGCCAGATATGCAAAAACATGCAAAATAAGATTTCACATATTCAATCGTCGTACCTTGAAATGAATTTCTATGTCATCTAGCATTAAATAAAACTTTGCAAGATTAATATGCAAATGCGTGAACTTACGAGCCCTGGTTATATACTTTGATATTATAATTTATTTATTTTAAATATTTTAAGACTTGTAATTTACATTATTTTTTATTAATTATTATTATTTTAGGTATGGGAGCTCCAATTACAGGTGTAGCTCCTATATTTGCAATTAGTTTCTTAGGATTTGGACTAGGTAAAAAATTATTTGCATCTACTAGTGAAAACAGTGAAAATTTGACTCCTACAAAACTATTTTCTGCCGGAGCATTTTCTGGTATTTTTACAGCAATTATAATGGTGCCTGGAGAACGCATAAAATGTATTTTACAAGTACAGGACTGTGGCAATCAAAAGTATGATGGTCCAATCAGTGTTATTAAGAACTTATATGCTGGAGGTGGTATAAGAAGTTTATACAAAGGAACATGCGCTACATTACTTAGAGGTAAATTTATTTTACTTACAATATTTTAACTTATAATGTAATATTTTGCTTTTACAAATATATAAAGTATTTACTTTATAATCAATATTTTAAATTAGTACATTTTTTGTGGTTCATTATAAATATTCTTGTAAAATAAAATACAGTAAGATACAAGTATTTAAATATTTATTATATATTTATATTTATGTATACTTTGAAACGAATCAAGATTTTAATTTTTATCTTTAAATTTGTTTAAAATTTTTGGAACAATATTTTTAGTTTTATTTTTTTTTTTCATTTTAGAAATTTCTTCTTTTAATGATGACTTGCTTATGTATGTTCCATTATTCAATAGTACACTCCTCTCTGTTGTAGTGAATGATAATTTATTATTAATTAATTCTGATATTTTATCAATAATATGTACTGTTGTTTTATTTTCTATAACTTTATTATTTATAATGGTTGTTGTGTTGTTTGACACATTATCAAAAGAGTTTGAATTAAATAGTAAGGTGTTGAATTGTGGATTTGATATTAATATGGAATGCTCTGATATTTTTTGTGGGATATGTAATTCTTGGAGTTGTTTAAGCTTGAACTCTTTATACTTCTTTTTTGTGTTTAGATTATTGTTCACACTGTTTGATTCATTATTACAATTCAAATATTTTCTTAAAACATACGAAACTGTCATTCCTTTTATTTTTTCTGGACTTGAGCATAATGGTTCTATTTTTTTGTTATAATAATATGTGACTGTACTTTTCATTGAACAGCTATATCCTTTCTTCAAATAGTTCCATTCACAAGAATGTTTATGTATTTCCTTTGTAATTTTGGTCATTATTGATATATCCCATGATTTCATTTGACAACTACAGTGTAGTGGATTCATATCTAATCGCAGTAATTTTATATTTGGTATTGTTTTAAATATTCCATCTGGTATATTTATCAACTGGTTATTATTTAAAATTAACTCATGTAGTGAGAATTGTTTATTAAATAATCCAGGAGGCAGTTCCTGGAGTTGATTATAAGATAAATCCAAATGTTCCAAATTGTAAATTCCATTGAATGAATCCATTGAAATTGACTGTATTGAACAATTACTGAGTATGATACGTTTAATATTTGGTGTTTCAACAAATGTATCAAAAGCAATTCGTTTTATACTACCTTTAATATTAAGTTCAGTAAGCTTTGGAAGTCCAGTTAATAAATTTTGTTCTAACATGGTCACATTAACATTTATTAAATATAATTTTTCCAGAGAATCAAGACCAACAAAAGTATTATGATGTAAATAAAGTTGTGCATCACTTGATCCCAATATTAGTTCTGTTGAACCATTTAGCACCTCAAATGTATGTGAATTCACTGTTTGAATTGGGTTATTACTTAAATCTGCAAATTTTAATTTTGGTAACGGAGGGAATGTAGTTTCTGATAAGACAGTTAGTGCATTGTTTTTTAAATTCAAATACTGTAAGTCTAGGAGGCCACCTAAACCAGTTGTTTGCAAGTATTTAATTTTATTATTAGCTAAAGATAAACTTTTTAACATACTTGCACCATAAAATGAAAAGTCTGGAATGTATTCAATTGCATTACTATCTAAGATTAAGGTTTCCAATGAATCCAAACCATTAAAAAAATTCCATGATATATATTTTAGATCACAATTTGTAATTCTTAAAAACAATAAATCTTTACTGTTGAAAAATGGACCATTTGATTTAGCTCTTTTTTTATTTTTCTTGTAAGTTTCATATGGAAGTATATCAATATCTTTTGACTGTAAGAATTTTAAGCCTTTTTTTACATTGTTATTATTTTCCTTGTGTAAGTAAATTGGTACAAGTTTATTAAAGTCATACAAATTTTCTTTTTTATGGATTTTTACATCTGTTATTGGAACAGGCTCATTACTCTCTACTGTTAATTTATCTAATGATATACTTTGAATGTTCATGTATTTTACATTTTTTATAGATTCAAATATTTTATCTGTCATATAAATTTTTGATGGATTATTCCTTTTATTAGTTTCCATGATATTACCATGAATTTCAAATACAATTAGTTTTGGCAATTTTATATCATTTTCTAGTATTATATTTTCTGAATCGCTTGTTTGAAATAAAATTAATGCCTGTAAAATACACATATTAAATGATTGTATAAAAATTTAAAATTGTTTTGTTATTAAAGATAATATTTTAAACTTAATTATTGATTGTTTTAAAAGAATATTATGAGATTTTAAATATTTTATATATTACTTTTAACAGTTCAATCATAATTTTTCATTTTTATTTTTAAAATAAATATTTTATTTTATAACAGTGGTTCCCAAACTGTATTCCATAATTATTTCAACGTGTTCGTTTTACCATTAAAAATTTAATAATATAACAAATGTTGGTTATTAATTAAAATAATGGGTATATATTTTTACAAGACTCCATCAACTCAAATAAAAATCATTGATACATTAAGACAGTATAATTTTTAATTTTAGTTAGTATGCATTTCCAGTTATTACCCAGCCAAGTATATTGTATATAAATATAATATTAAATATATATTATCTCTTTTGAGTTTCCTCCTATAAAAATACATATCATGTGTAATATGTTTCATAACAATAAATTGGAATTTTATTTTCGTAATAAAGATTATTATTATTATTATTATAAAACACAGGCAAATAAAAAAATGTAACATTAAATATTTCTCTGGGTACTACAAGAAAATACTGGTTAAAAAAAAGCTCCATGGTTGAAAAGTTTGGGAATCACTATTTTATAAGTTCTAATATTTAGATATTTACCTCTGTATCTAATGGAAGCAAATTTAAAAAGTATTTTGGTTTTGTAACATTCATAAATAAACATAAAGCAGTCTTAAATAACTGTATTTCATAATGAGATGTTGGTTTTTCTTCATTGTCTTCAATTACCTTTAATTGTACAGTTAAATAATTAATTTCCACATTGGTTATCTAAAAAATAGTATATTACTATTTTCAATAAATATTCCTATCGTATTACTTCATTTCGTGAATTAGAATTAGATATAAGTGTTTCTAGTTTGGACTGTACTCCATCATTCATCCATTTGACCATTGGTAAATCTGCAAAATCTGTGTTCTTACAGGTACACATTTTCGGACAATCATTACCCCACTGTTTATTAATATTTATATTAACACTTTGTACCTGCTTTAAAATGAAAAATTAATAATTATTGGAACTTTAATTAGTAAAAATATCTACTAAATAATATTTGAGAATACAATTTACTATTTTTTAATCAAAATTATTTTAATAATTATAAATTAAGTTATAATAAGACTAGTTTGACACTAAAAGTGAAATTTATATCTAGAAAATAATTTTAGCTTATAGTAAAAGGTATAATATTAGAAATGCACTACGGGAACATTGAAACATTAAAACATACAACCAGTGCTTCAAAAGAATGATGGATTTAAAAAAGTAAATAATAATGATATAGTTATACATTTAAAATTAAATGTATTAAGCTGCGATGCTGTAACGATCAAACTTGTGTTAATTAGTTTATTGTTTAGTATTATAAACAAATTAATTATATGTCTCTAAATTATATTTTTTACACCATACTATTTTTATAACAAAAATAATTCCTGTTGGCTGTTAATTTAATACAAATTAACAATTTTAACTTTAGTAGATATTACCTTAATCACTAAATTAATTACTATAATAATGACATTTATTGATTTTTGTTTTATTATATTATTTAAAATAACCAATATTTAGTAACTATTTATTTATATTATTTATTAAATATATTATTTATTAAATAATTAAAAAAAAAGCAATATTTACATAGAAATTATGTTTCAAATTTACCTTTATAAAAATACATATGGCTATAAAATACGATATTAAATACAACTTGTTAAAAAACATTTTTTTTTTTTTTTAATTTTTAAAAGCTATTAAATAAGTATAAGTTTATACACACAATGTATAATGTTATATGAATAATTAAACAATTTGTATGGTTCACAACTAGAATGTATTTTACTAATGTTATCTTATTTTATTTTTCCTTCCTGTCAACTAAACAGGAACTCGATTGATATATTTGTTGTGGGAGTGAAATTATATTTTGTATATTTATCAGTAAATATTGAGTTTTAAATTATATCATAATGAATGAAATTACATTTTACATGTGTAATGTGACGAAAAAATGAATTTATTGAATACTTACAAAATATTATATAAAAATGTTGTACATACTTCGTTTATGTATAAGCAGTGTGTTAATAACATACCTATTAGCTATTTAGATTATTGTCAACAGGAAAAGGGAGTAAAGACAATAATGCCTAATGATTTTTAAACACAAAAATGTTTTTACATTATTTTAAGAATTATTTAAATATTATGTATATATCTCTTAGGCATCTCGTTTATTTTATTATAAACATATTACATTATAAATATATATATATATATTATAAACATTCATAATAATTGTTTACAGTTTTTACTATTTTCACATGTATATATATAATAATACTTTAGATCAATGTGAAATTAAGTTTCAAATCAAACAATTCGAGAATTGAATGGAAAAAAATGGAATAACATTTTATTATTGAAGAAAAATCAATTTTTATATTAAAATTTTTCCTACTGTACAATGGAAATCAATATTTTAGAAGACTTCGAACATTTGAATTCTATTCTAAATCAATGATGATAAACACAAGAATTAATTGATTAAATTAGGTACATTTATTTCTAAAGCAACTATTTATAATTTACCAATAGTTTATTATCCTAATAGAAATTTAGTCTGTTTTTAATTGTTAAATTATAGATTTAATTAATAATTCTTTTTGCATAAAGTAATATTAATAAATGTTAAATTTTATAATTCAAGTAAAAATAAGTTACATTTTTTGGAAATTTTGATAAACTGAGTTATATTTAATTTAAAGTCATTAAATTAATTAATAATCATTTCTAACTTATAAATCATTTTAAATTACATTTATAGTCTTTTCAGGCATGATGTACAATATTTAATAAATCTATTATGAAGCTTATAGTATATACTATAATATAATTATAGTATAATGAAAATTATAGTAAAATAAAATATTTTATATTTTTATATGTATTATTAAATATTTGTTTTCATTGTTAACAGATATTCCAGCTTGTGGTGTGTACTTTACAACCTATGAATTATTAGTAAGATATCAAAAAAAGAACAATTCTGATGGTCTTATGAACACAATATTTGCTGGTGGTATGGCTGGTATACTGAATTGGCTGATTGCCATGCCAGCAGATGTGCTCAAAAGTCGTTTACAAACAGGTTTGTTTTTAATTTTTATCTCTAGTCTCATTAATTCTATCAAATTAGCATATTTATAGAAAATTTTATTTATTCATTTGGTATTAAAATGCTAACTCCTGCCTATGAGTGTGGATTTCATTGCTTGTCATGAGATGAAAAGACAACAGACTGTCAAATACTGTTAGAGCTTAACCGGGCGTACACAGAAAAAGTAAAACTGTTCGGAGTTGCTCAGAACATTGTTCCGAACAAATTCCATTTACATCAATAAAACTAAATAGAACAAGGCAAAATGAACACGTATTAATTTGTTATAACAATAGACGCCAAGAAAAGTTTAGATCAGCGGCCAATTGGCTCACCGGGATGGTTCCCCATGGGTCGACCGTCGTATTTTGTCATTTTAAAGTTGTAAACTGATATTTTTCAAATGTTTAATATAGTTTTAAAATAATTATGATTATTACAATGTATGGAATGGGATCGAATTATATAGCTAACCCGCGTCTGGTTCTAACAAATCTGAATTTATTATACCGTTTTTGTGACATTTTTTTTTCTAAACAATGAAATAAATTTCAATGAAAACCATAACATTTGAATGCACGAGATAAATAATATACAGAAAATAGTAAAAATAATTAAGATGTTTACTATCGACACGAAAATAACGTGTATTCAGTTTATATTGTTTATGAAAACCAACTTTACTGACTTTTTTTTCAGCTTTTGCTCGGAGCAAAATTGGAACAAGACCGATCATGTTATGTTTTGTCTTTTCGTGTTTTGCTATTGACTGATAAGTGTGCGCGCGTCAATTACTTTACATGTGTTATAATTGCTTCCAAACAGCTTGGAGCTGATACAAGTTGTTCAGAACAGTTTTGCTTGTTCTGTGTGTGCTCGGTCTAAGACGTTTTCTGGAGTGCACTACATAGAAGCGCTCTATCATACACCCACGTATTGCAAATAAAAAACAATGATAACAATTTTCGTCTCGATGTGATCACAGAACTTAATTTTCATATGGAGCAAAAATATGTATAAAATATTTTTAAGGAAAGAATTTTTTAATCTAATAACTATAATTTTACATCTAGTACAACTTATCCGGTGTATTATTTAGAGTTATAGTTGATAACTCCATGAATTAATTAGAATTATCATGATCGTTGTTATTATTAATCATATTTTAATATAATTATACACGTAAATTATAACAACCTAATTAAAAAAAAAAAAAAAAAACTATTGTCAATATAGTGACACAGGCAGGGCTGTATTTAAAATTTCTCTGCCCAGGGGCAATAACATGTTACCGCTCTTCTTCTTTGAAGTGTAAAACCGACAATAAGTGTCTCCAACTATCCATTAAAGAGCCTCTCGCAATTAATTTTCCCCATTTCAGTACACTATTACACAAAATTTGTAATTAATATCAAATCCACAATAATAAATGAGTTATAATTACATAAATGAAGTTATAGAAAATTGTCTTTTTTAAGACTGATGTCCCATCTTCATACAAATCGTGATTAAATCAATACCTACATATACTCAATAAAATATCATATCAAACAAAATACTCTTAAATAGATATGCATTTTGTACGCTACTAAATAATATAAATGATTTTATAGTATAACATTTATTTTTTATATAGTTTTATTTAGAATCATTGTAAAAATATTTCCGTCCTCTTAAATATTTCAGTGGGAGCTATTGCCTCTCCGAACTACCTCTTAAATATGGCCCTGGACACAACCAAAACATTATAAGAAAACCATTATTGTAATTGATGGAGGATTTTTAAAATTTAAAAAAAGAAGAGTCTTTAAATAAATAATATCAGTGGCGTATTATGAAGGGAGTTAGAAAACTAAATCTTCCCTCTTAGTTTTTTTTAACACCTGTGCTTTACTTTAAATAAGATTGAAAATATTAATGTATAAATAAATAAATACATTTTTTATTATTGAAAATATATATTTATATTACCTATTGTAAATAAATTATAGTAATCATTAAAAATTGGTAATATTTAATATCCATTGTATTTCAAGAGGAAAGAAAAAAATAGTCATATCAATTTGGGTTTCCTTTTCCCCTTAAAGAAATCCTTAATACTCCACTGAATAATATGATGATCAAAGATTTTAAAGTGTCTAAATCTAAAATAGAATAAAAATATTAATGTTTTGTTGAATATAAATTAAAGTTAGAATTAAACTATTGTTGATTGAATTATGTAAGTATGTCATATGTTATTTATCTGCTATTTAATTATAATTAAATTGAAGAAAAAATAACTATACATTTACATTTTTGTATAACTTCCATAAAAGAAGAAGATAATAATTCTCAATTTTTTAGTCATGGTATTTAACCATATCTTAAACTGATTTTTTAATAGTACTGTTTAACTTGTTTAATATTTTAATGTAAATCAATGTAACAATTAATTATACAATATTACCATATGTAAATAAATTAAAAATATGCATATATTATAATAATAAATGTCTGTATATAACTATGTATGTTACTACAAATTTATATTTCTTATTTTTAATCATACAATAAAGTTATTAATATTAAGTTTCATTGTTTTTATTGTTAACAGCACCAGAAGAAATGTACCCAAGAGGTGTTAGAGATGTATTTGTGAAACTATACAGAGATGAAGGACTGAAAGCATTATATGCTGGTGTAACACCAGTCATGCTCAGAGCATTCCCTGCAAATGCTGCATGTTTCTTAGGCGTTGAATTTGGATTAAAAGGTTTAAATTTTATTTTCCCCCCAGAAAAACATGAAAATTGAATCATGAATCTCAAATCTAACAATCAAGTTGAACAGATGTGTCAGTTAACATGGTTGCATATGCAATTTGGTTATTATTGATGGGTATATCAATTATTTGTTTGGTGATTAGTTGGTTCTCAAGTGTCTATAGTCTAATATGGGGACGTTTATATATGTTATGAGTTTCAATTGTATTATTTTATATGTATACAAAAACGTTTTATGTTGTAAATTGATATTTTAAGTATTTGATTGTTGTAATGTGGTATTGTTTTAACTTAAATATATTTAATTATTTGATAAAATTGATTTTAACAATTTTTTCCTACAAATATTCGATAATTTGTGTTAAAAATGAGGATGAACTTTTAAGATTTAGCTAATTTAACTTGGTTGGTGATTTTTTTTTAATTGAAAAATAAAGTATCATAAGATTAGTTAGGCGAGATACAAAAATTAAAGAATAATAATAATGTATGATCTTGAAAATTTAAATCCAATGTCCTCGAAAAAACAATACCGAGTAAAAAAATAAAATTAAGCTATAAAACAAATATAATTATGTGAAATATTCAATTTTGTTTACTTTTATTAGTAATGAATATATATCTTTGTAAGTAACTGTCATGTTATATCATATTTATAAAATATTCTACGAACATTTAATATTAAGTTAAAAAAAAAAATGTATTCAAAGCTAAGCCATGATCATTTTTAATATATTTGCTAAAGAAATTATTTTTTCTTATGAGTAAAATATTCGAATACATGTTTTTCTGTTAATATTTTAAGATATCCGTAATTGATCTTAACAAATACTAGGAATTAGAAACAACTAACAAAATATTATTTGATATATTTTACCATCATTTTATACTTGATTATAACTGCATGTTTCAAATAAAATGTAAAGGGATAATCATAAACTTCCGACCTCCATGGTTATATAGGTAATTTGTAAAATTTTAGTTTTTACACAAAACTATCTATCATATACCTATCTAAATTTTGTGACTTTTCTCATAGTATTATAATATTAGCATGTATATTTTTTTATACAAACATAATATCTAAATATCATTTTGCATATGATAAAAATGTCATGTTAAATAAAACATTGATACATCATCAATGTAAATTAAATTTGAAATAAGGTTACCTTTTAATTATGAAAAATGAAATTATTATTACTCAAAACTGAAAATACTCAATTGAAAAAAGTATATTTATTTATTTGGATATTTAAATGGGCGTACCCAGTTAAAATTATGAATTTATGTGTATAACTTACAATAATATATTGTTATTACAGTTTCTGTGAGAAAAAAAAATATTGTTGAAAGGAATTAACAAATAAGTGTAAAAATAATAAAATTCAGTCAATAAAAAAGCTTTTTAAGATTTCATTATTATTTAATATTTACAGGTTTTAATATTTTAAAAATTTCAATCACTTACATCATTACCCTTGGTTTAGAATAGACTACCGGTTATCCCTGACTGTTGTAAGAGGCAACTAAAAGGACAGCAGTTTTTATAATATTGAGTGTATGTACAAGTAACATTAGAGATAGTTGAAAAACTTGCAGTTTATGATATATACTATATAAATAAATTATAAATAAATAAATATTTATAATCATTTGTAATTTTTAATAACAGCAATTGAAAAATTAGAAACTCGGAATATGACTTTTTTTATAATTTTTTTTTTTTTTAAATTAACTAACTGTAAGAAAAGTTAAACATTAAACCTGGATAAAAAGATCAATATTATATATAAACTAAACAATATTTTCATTAAAAATGAAAGACTTTAAGTATTAAATAACATTAATAAAACATCATAAATAGGCAAAAATGTTGAACTTGTTAAAAATATAGTAATATAAATCTTATAAAAAATGTTTTGACAACCCTAGTTGACAATAAATGATAATTTTCAATTAACAAACATCTATTGATAAGACAAGACGCACTTCATAAATTCTACAAAGAAGCTCTTCATTTCCATTTAAGTTTTAATAATATTAACAATTTGTGTGGGGATTTATGTGTATTTAAAACTAAAAAATATGTACATAAATATATATATATATATATATATTCATTCAAATATGTAATTAAAAATACAAGATAAATAAAATAAAAATTATATGCTTGGTTAGTACATAATATAAATAGATTATCAATTACAATATTATTATTAAATTATACATATAAATCTGCAACCTATTAATAATAACGAATAAAAGAGATTATTTCATTAACATTATTTCTAGCATGTATTTACTTAATTAGAAAAATATAAAACGTGTTTATTTATCTTTTAAATGTTTTATGTTTCTCGTATTATACCTATTAAAATTTATATACTTTTAAAAATTAATATTTTCATATTTTTTATTTTAACCGATTGGAACAGTAATATCATTTAAAAAAATTAATAGAATAAATTCAAACAAAACATATATCACATATTTCTTACCCTTAAAATTACACAATTAAAGAAATATAAAATTGTGTTTATATATATATATATATATCTATATAATATTTATGAATGTGTTAAAATTTATCTTAATGAAGTTGATAAGAAAATATACTCAAATTATTTCTACAAAATCAACTTAACAATTAGTATCTAAAAATTTATCTATTAGGTAGTTCTACTAAATTATAATTATCAAATATTAAAATGATTATGCTTATACATAATAATTTAATAAATATAAACTCATATATGTTTTGTATTGAACACCAAATTAAAAACACTGTGAAACATATATATTATGCTTTGAATATCAATAAATATTTATAAATATTATAAATTATTAATTATATAAATTTTTAATTATAAATTGTTATAGATATTTCATTTTTCCAGCTAGTATAATATTGTTTTATTTGTAATTTTCAGCTAAGTAATTATGATGAAATATTGAGACACAGTAGAGAATACTGGTTACTTATGTTTAAATAATGATTAAATGGAATTATATAGCATAAAAACAATAGTATTGAAATGTTGAAACTTTAAATTATAATTTCTGCTACATTAGAAAAAAATGGTATCAACAAGTATAATCTGAGATATTATAATAATTTCTATTATTTAAGTAGTATAATTAATTATATATTTATGTAGAGAATGCTATAAAGTACCAAAATTAAAGAATGATTTAAATTAGTTTAATATATAATATTAAATAATTTAGAAAAATATTTTTATAAGCAAAATATTTGCTACTTTTGAAAAATAAAATAATAAACTTATTTATAAATATTAAACATTGATTTAAATAAATTTAATATATAATATAAAAATAATTTAGAAAAATATAGAATATATAAAATATGTAGTTAAATATTTGCTACTTTTGAAAAATAAAATGATACTTGTTAAAAAAAAAAAAAATGTTTGGAATAAAATTATTATTAAAAGAAAGTATTATTAACTTTAAATTAATTAAATTAAGCATTATTATTATTATTATTATTATAAAAAATTCTTAGTTTTATGAATACAGTTTTTAGTGAATATACACTAAATTTTTCTTAAATGTTCATTTTATTTGCCATCTCATACAGCTCTGGAGGAACTAATTGTTTGGATTTTTCTAAAATATTAATGAGGGCAGCAGCATGTTGTTTATCTCGGTCAGAAAATAAAGTGATAGCTTCACCATATTTCCCAGCTCTGCCAGTCCTGCCTACTCTATGAACATATTCTTCAATGTTTAATGGGAAATCATAGTTGATTACCAAGTTAAGATCCTTGATATCTAATCCTCTGGATGCCACATCTGTAGCAATCAATATGGGTACAATGCCACTACGTATATCAGCTAATGAAGAATCCCGATCTGTTTGTAATCTTCCGCTATGTATACACCTAAAAATTAATTTATGTATTAATTTAAAAGATATTATATATATATATTTTGTATTATATTATTATTGTTTTAATAGAATTACCTGCAGTTAATATTTTTTTGTTGGAACTTTGTATAAAGTTTATCAACAGATATTTTTTTGCGCATAAATATAATAACTTTATAATCCTTTGGAAATTGTTTTTCCATGTACTTGTCCAACCAGATTTCTTTTTTATTTTCTTTAAGCATAACGAGTTTTTGTTTTACTGTACTCACAGTAGTTAAATCAAACGAACCAATAGTTATATGTAGTGGATTTGTAGTATAATAATTGGCAAGCTTTTTAACAGTTTCTGGCCAAGTAGCACTGGTTAAAATAGTTTGCCTATCACTACGTATATGTCGCAATGCCAATTCAATTTGATTTTGGAAGCCCATATCTAACATACGATCTGCTTCGTCAAGAACTAAGTACGAAACATGATTTAGTTTAATTGCCATTATGCTAACCAAATCGTTGAGTCTTCCAGGAGTAGCTATTATGATATCTGGCTTAACATCATCAAGAGTATTAATCTGATCATTCACATCAACTCCACCATAAATACTCATAACATGAATATTGTCATACACATACTTTTTAGTTTCAACCTCAATTTGTTGCACAAGCTCTCTGGTCGGACCTAAAATCACAACAGATGGACCAATGCGCAAATGGCGTTCCACTGGCTGTCGAACTAGATGAATTAAAGCTGGCAATATGTATGCCAACGTCTTTCCTGAACCTGTCTGGGCGATGGCAATAAGATCATGTCCGCTCATAATGATTGGCCATGCTTGACACTGCACTGGTGATGGCTCCACGAAGCTCTGTTTGTTGATGACCTTTAGAATTTCTGGGAATGCATGGAAAGCGTGTTGAAATGTTTTTACTGGTTTTGGTATTGTCTGAGAATTACTAGCATCTTCCACATACTCTACCAAGATGCAGTTTTTGTGATGCCTGAAATCACTTACCTCAATATCGCTCAATGCGGTAATATCTGGGTGTTCCACATAAAAATCCTTCTTGATTACCGGATATGACTCCATTTCCTTTTGCATAATCTCTTCGGCTTCGGATTCAATTTCGGCCCACTGCTCGGCGGTGAGGCGCAACTGTTCAGGTGGTGATTGTTCGCGACGGACCTGGCGAGGCTTCTTCTGCGACGATGATGAAGGCGCATTGATCTGTACCGATCCTACATTGCAGTTGGTGATCGACGAGATCATGTTCAATGCTTTGCGTTGTGAATCCTCGGAGCCGGTTATTCTCACAATCCGCTTGTCATAAGATACGCCGTCGATGATCTTGATAACCGCACCGGTTTCCTTTTGAATGCTCTTAATCTTGGCGCCGCCGCGGCCGATCACCATGCCAGCCATGGTCGACTCTATCTCCATCATTGTAGTCATTGCTATTAGTCAGTCGAAACGAATTTACAATTGTGAGCTACGCCGCGCGTGAAAAATGAATTGCAACGCAAAACTTAAGACGATAACAGGAGCAAAATGTCACAAGAAATTAACGTAAGAATGTAGTCGGACGTACAAAAAAAATAACGTGGATTGAGTTTACCGCATAGTGACAAGTTTTATGTAATGCAATGTGCACGTTAAAATATAACCAGTTCACAACGGTCCTATGAATTATAGTATATATATAGTAGACTAATATTAATAGTTTTAGTGATAAGAGCGTTTAAATACAGGAATGTACCACTAATTGTACACAAGCGCTATATGTACCTATGTAGGTAACAGAAATGTATTAATATTTTAAGAGGCAAATTTGAATATCAAACAATTCAATATCAAACAGATTATTCTCTACGAAATATCATGACTGTTAAATAAAACTAAATATAGTATCAATACAAATTCTCCTTATTCATACTGAATTCTTAAAACTGCAGTAAAATACTAGAAAGTCTAGTAGTGTACATAATTTTTATTTATTTTGTAAAATTACTTTTTCATGTGAACTGTGTAAGAAATTTTCATAAATTAAAAAATACCATTGGTAAAAAATCGTATTTTTTAAACAGCAATATTTGCGACAGTAGTTTTATATATATATATATAAAAAAACATTATTAATTGAACATTTAAATTTTGATGTTCATTAATAAGGAAGTTATACAGTTCAAAAATATTATAAGTATATATCAACTCTGACTAGTTTTTCACTGCAATATAATTTATTTAAATTATATGAAAGTACCTAGAATAATGTTTTAAAAAATAAATTAAATATTGACCTATGTAAAGTTTACTTAATTTACTTATTAGATGTATGAATAATATGTAGTTGAAGCTTTTAATGATTAATATAAAAAAAAAAAGACTAATATATAGTTATATAATATATATAATAACTGAATTTATGATTAGCACTTGTCCAAAATATTATAAAGACTTAAGAAATAGTTGGGTCCGAAATTTGAATAAGCAGTACAACTGATTGAATCAAATTACCATAATCAATTATAAAATTTATATTGATAATAATGTTAAAAGATAAATTAATAATGATAAAAGTTATATTATGATAAGTTGTGATTAAATTGTGAACTAGTAATAATAGGTCAAATTGACAAATAAATGGTGTAACATATTATTTTCTGAAAAACATTAAATTATGGATATGTTTTTAGGTTAAAATGTTAAAACGCATAATTTAGTACAATTTTGACTTGTATTATTATAGTTGGTGCCAATGTAATTGCAAAAAGGTAATGCTTTTCTGTCAACACTATTTTTCTATATATTCATCTAAAAAAACATATATATGTTATTCATTTATGTATTGTATCATGTAGGTATGTATTATAAATATCTAGCTTAATCGTTAATTATTTGTATACATATGTTTTGTAAGGTACCTGTTTATGTAAAATTCCAGGTATTAAATTTGGCACTTTCTACAAATATTATGCAAAATTATTTTTGTCTAAAATATAGGATAAGTTTTTTGAAGATACAATGTATTTTAAGTAATTTATAAATTGCATTGAATATATTTTGTAAAAAATCTTCATTCTTTTTAATTTGCCTTATATACATTTGTTTTTATTATGTACTGAATAAATTGATATATTATATTGTATTGTAAAATAATATTGTTCGATCTATTACTTAAAAATACCTAACATGTTACACTTTTTTCTTAAGTAATCAACTTTCTTTAGATTTATACTTTATTTCCTAACTGGTGAAATATAATTTACATATTAATTGGATATTTTAAAATATTAAATACTAACAGTGTTCTTCCCTTGTTAGCTTTTACATAGTTTTGTAACTGATACACAAATAAAATAGATACATGTAACTCATAACATTAAAACATATATTTTTTTTTATTTAACTTAGCTTATGGCTTGGCTTTAATTTAAATTATATAACTATAGTATATATTAATTATTGCCACAATATTAGAAGATTGATATTTCGGTTTAACGGTAAAAATACATTGGATATCATATAAAATTATTTAAAAGTTTTTCACTTATTATAAAACTGAAATATTGTTTTGTTGTTTGTATTATATTGACAAATAAATAAAAATATACATTTTTTGATTTGTTACATGTTTATAGATTTTTCTGATATTTTTCTTTAATGAATTCTAGACCATAATTATAACATAAGAAATCCCGAGAAAAATATGAACTATTAATGATCTTGATTATAATTTTTAGTATAGTATTTTAGTGTTTTTGTAATGCTCTTTGGATCCGAAACCTGGACATAATAAGCTCAACGGAAAAAAATAGGTTTGACACAACGGGACAGTCGGCATTAACAGTCAATCAAGGTATAAGGACCAATAATTACATTGAAACTTACCATGATTCAATATTGATATTTATGAAACCACATCCCAAAGTGTGGACATTTCTTAGTATGATTCAAACTACTTTAATTTGTATTTCTTGTAATTTTGTCATATTTGTTTCTTTTTCACTTGTACCTAGTATTTTACTTATAACCATTGCCATAATTTGGGTTTAATTTATGGGGGTAAGTATTTTCTATTGTAGGAATTAAGACGTTAATAATTTATACTTTAATTTAATTTATATTATTTCTAAATGTTGTATAATAAAATTCATGTTTTAATTTAATTTAAAGTTTAAAGGTTACTTACACTTATTGTTAGTAATTATATTCAAATATGTTGGTAAAATATTATCAATATTAAAGCACAAATAAAGTAAGATGAAGTAAGCTAAATTGTTTCGTGATGGCATCTTTAAAGTTGTATGATAGTGTAAAGAATAATTGTATCATAACTGTACGTTTCTATGTCAGATATGTATGATATGTGTAATATATTAATATGTTAAAGTTATGTGCTAATAACTTTAAAATGTATGTTTTTATGCATTTATGCTCAATAATATATAATTTGAAATATACCTATGTAATGTTTCTTAAATAATAATTCTTCAATCCGAGGTATTCAAAATTAATTATTTTAAGATTAATTAAATTAATTTATGATGGTATGTAAACAAGTAATATATGTCCACTAATTTACAGCTCAGTTACTTTCAGAAAATCAATGTAATATTGAATTTAGACAAGTGATGTAGAATATAAAAGCTAGAAACAAATAATTTAATTTAACAATTCATTATCTAAAGTATATATATATATATATATCTATGATTTAAATATATTATTTAATATTTAACACTGTCAGTGGCGACTCATGGCTTGGATGACGGGACGATCGTACCCCTACTATTATTTATGAAAAAAAGAAAATGAATTCTGATTGTAATAGTATACCTTTTAATAATTCATTAAATAATTGAATATTTAGTATTTAAAATATTAAAATGGTGATTTTCAATTTCAAAATCAAAATAATAATTTTACAAAATTTGTTGAATGCGATTGCAGTGAATATAATAATATAATAATTGCATTCCATGTGCGTGTGCTATAAGTACGAATGCCTATCAACCTATATATCACTGCTGAGCGATAACCGCCGCCCGCCGCTTTCGGACGAAAATCGTTGTCGCTACTTTATACTATATTGTATATAACATGTTAGGCTGTGCGAACGTGTGTACGAATACGATTAAACCGCGGTATCACACATGCGTATGGACGACACACCGCGTCTTACTAAAAATTTAAATATCAATGATAATTTTTTCCAAACTAATCTGAACAGTTTACCCGCGGATTACGGTTTCCGATTATGAGATAAGGAATTTTATTATTGCCAATTATGTGTCTTATTTAAGGCGTGCTTTTTAAACCGTGATTGTGACATTTGGACAATAATAAAATAATAATATCAAAAATAAATGGTACAGGAACGGACCATAGGCGCAACCAGGGGGGGCGCGAGAGGTGTTGTAGCACCCCTGAGTTCAAATTTAGTGCTCCAGTTTTTTTTATATTCAGATGTATATAATGTACCATGGTAATAACAGTGAAATACCATTCAATTATACTTTCAGCAATTTCAGCACCCCCAATATTTGGGCTCTAGTTGCGCCACATCTTGGTAAATTTATTATTCTGGTTATATTCTTAGTAAGAAAAATATTAATTAGATAATATTATTTATATATTTATATTTATTTAAAAATAAATAATACATATTTATAATATAACATTATTACATATTATTCTGATATCATCATTATTTAGTAAAAATTATCATATTTCCATTTATAATATAAAAATATAACATTTTTGAATCGATATATTGAATAAATCTTTAGGGGTAATCAATTATATTTATATAGGTACCTTATGTAACATGGGCAGATCTAGGGGGGGGGTTTAGGGGGTCAGCTGACCCACAGTTAATATTTGTTGACAAAATTGGCCTCTTGGAATTTTTTTTCTCTTTTTAGACCTTGATTTGGATTCTTGGACAGTTGACTTATCGGAGTTACTTGAAAATTTCAATTAATAATTTATATTTTAAATTATATCGTTTTTTGGAAAGTTAAGTAAATCATATTTTATTCTGTACGTTTGTTACGCTGATAAAATTAGATTGTATTTATTAATCGTAAATAAGTCATTATCGGTGGTATCACTAATTTTAAAATATAATATAAATATACTTATACACTTTTATGAACATATTGTGTTTTTTTTTTTACCAGGTATTCATTTCTAATTCAATTTCATCCCTAATAAATGGCCTCTTGAAATAGCTTGTTCCACAGTTCTCCGACTCTGAATCCGCCCCTGTTATGTAACAAAAAAAATTGTGCTCAATAGAAAATTCAACATTACTTGAATAAAGTTTTCATTTGTAAAGTTAAAAAAAAATTACAACATATTTAATAAAAACAATAAGTTTATGTTTAGTGATCATATTGTTAAATAATAAAATAATAACTATTGTTTTATTTTAGTTTTGTTTTCATACTACTTGTATGTTTTTTTTTCTGTCACATATAAGTACAAATTTATGAAATGAACAAATATGATTTTTTTTTACAGATGGCAAAACATATTTTATAGTAGTATGAAAATAGGTATAATATTCTCTAATCCCCAAAATATGCTGAAATATGTAAAATACATTTTATTTATATACTTAGTCACTAACAAAACAACTTAAAAATTTAAATTCATTTTGGTCAATATTTCAGACTATATACTGCAATTTATTTTTACTGACCAGGCATAATATGTTGTAGGATCGTTTTTTTTTTTTTTTTGAGGGAGGAAATTTGTAATAAGTTTATACACCCTATGAAACTTTTTATAAATAAATGTGATAGAAGTTTGAAAGAGCTCTCATGGGTTACCTAAAAAAGTTGAGTATGATATAGATATATATCATACTCATATTTGGTAAGGGAACGCTCCTCAATTTTTCGTGATTATAAACTCCTCTCAACATTCTTAACACTTTAAACACTAACTAATCCATATTATTTTACCTTATTTTTTTCACAAACAAATCCCTTCTTTTGATAATATTGGTATATATAAACTTAAATTTAATTGCAATACATTTTATACAGGCAAAACAAATAGAAATTTTAAAATAAAATAAAAACAGCATATTTCTGAAAATTAAAAAAGATTGCCCCTAATTCAAATTTTGTTAAGCATGTTTTAAAAAATAATCATAACATACATTTTAATATCAATACTGACTTAGAAATATTAAATATCCAAAATAAGATTTAAATTAATTCAGTTTTAGAAGAGTTACACATATACATAATTAAATAAAGAAAAATAACATTCATAATCAGGGCTCATAACTTCTAGCATTTGCATATTTTTTTTGAGAGGTCCTATAGGTACCTATGTGACCTATAAATTTGTTTCAGATAACCAAGAAGCTACATACGAAACTTTATATTGCATATTTTTGCATATTTCGGAGTATAAGTGCTATTTTGCTTTTTTTCGCTTTTTTTTTTGCTTATTTTTGGATTTTTGCATGATTTTTATCATTGATTTTTTTAAAAAAATTTTTAGTTGCCTAAAACATTTTTTCTTAAAAATAACAAGTAATTATAGTCATATTAACTGTTCATATTAGTAATTAATTCGTGTTGATTAATTTTTCTTCTTATATAACTTATATAATATTAGAAGAAATTATATATACCTATACGAATTAAGCGACGCGCGACGTGTACGCCCGAAACTTCGCAATCCCATCGATAAGGAAACCATTATAATTGTATATAGTTGTAGTTTGTACTGTAGTATTTTTATAGTTTCTAGGAGGTATTCGGGTATTCCGATATTATCTAGATATTCCGATATCATCATTCTCAGATTATTTACAGATTATTTTTCATTAATATTATGCAGTCGTTTCTAATTTTTCGTACTGTGTGCATGCTAGTTCGTTTCGTGAATTCAGTATCTAATTTTTTTTTTTTTTTTTTTTTATAATAGAAGCTGAAATAATAAAGTAATAAAATAAATAATAATAATAAAATAATAATTTTTGTACACAAACGTTTTTTTTGCATATTTTAGTATTTTTAGTGCACATTTAAGCGCTTATATGAATACTTTTTGAGCATATTTAAGCGCTTATAACAACCTTTTTTAGAGCTATAAGTTATGAGCCCTGTTCATAATATTTTAAATGTATAAACAGATTTAAAAAATTATATCTTATATCAATACAATATATTAATACAAGAAAAAATGTCTAATTTATCAATTTTATGCACAGAGTCTGATTTGATTGAGGAAATTAAGTGAGAAGAACTAACATAAAAACTTGTAACTATTAAATCCATAAAAAAATATAATTAAAGAAAAAAAAATAATATTATAAAAAAAAAATAATAATATATATAATATATATGTTACGGGCAAAGTATACATTTTGGGCAATATAGAAAACGGATGATATGATTTAATGAATAATGACATATTATTAGAAAATATAATAAGTTTTTTAATTTTATTATCACTTATTGTCGCATGTACTGCTTCCGTGACATTTTGATGAACATAGCCGCTCCGCTGCTTTACACTTACACTTCCGTGTTTTACATTTTTGTACACATGTACATCGATTGTAGCCCTGATCACCCAAATTTGAAGATATCCGTGCTGCCTCTCGGAGTGAAATTTTGGTATGCGGCACATCATCAACTTCCAGAAATCTTTCTTTACAAATCACAAATTAGTTTCTACTGTACAGAGTTGAAAGGTGGCCTTCCTCGGTCCCGATTTCGTACATATTATTGTTAACTGTAAAAACAGAATAAATACATTTTTATAATTTTACCTGGAATATTAATAACATAAGTAAAATATTTTTGAGTACCTGAAAGAATAACTCCAATAATGTTTCTAAAATCACTACGGGCCCTATCAACGTCTGGAATTTTAACCGTTACTGACTGACCAACTTCGCCGGGAAAAAAACTATTCTCAGAAGCTTTTTTTGCTTCATTTGTATAGCTTGAACTTTCAAATTTTTAAGCGATTCTGTTCTATTTTCACGAATAGCTTTTATTCTTAAAGGTACAGCTAAAATAAAATAAATACATTGATTAATTTTATTTTAGTATATAACATAATTATTACTCAAAAAACGGAAACTAAAAATCTAAAATTATAATTAAAAGGTATTATTATTATTATTATTACTACTACAACATAGATATAGGTACCTTCTTTGTTTTCGATGTTGTTATTACATTTCGATATAGTAGAAATATAATTCAGAGCTCCTTCGAGGTTTTCTTCAGTTCTTAAATTACTTATTATATTTATTAACTTTATTTTAACTATATTTTACGATTTATTATATTTCGTTAACTCATATCATCCGTTTTCTATATTGCCCAATGTACGAAGGGCATTTTATATACTGTCCGGGCAATGTATAAAATGCCCACATTGTATACTTTGCCCGTAACATATACATAGTTAGGTATATAGTTAGTTTTTTTTTATTTTTTAATTGGCGTTAATATTAAAAATTACTTTAATTATTATCTGTATATTTGGAACCAATTTATTAATATTATATTTGTATTTTGTCAGTATTTTCCATTAGTTTAAAAAAATTCTTTGCAAAACTATTCTGTGATATCAAAAATATACCTATTTATACTTTTTATTTTAAGTCAGGAGCGTATTTAGGGGGGTGATATGGGTGTTGAAACACCCCCCCCCCCTCGATCGGATTTTATGGTATTTCACCAGTTGCAAACTTATTGACAGCGTAATTTGAAGATACGTTACATACAACTTGTAGATTTTACATATACTGTCTTAATATAATCGTTTTCATTTATAAAATAATTTATATAAATACATGGTATTCATTAATATAATACGGGAAAGGAGAGAGAACCTCACTTACCGTAAGTGTATTAAATTTTAAAACACCCCATTAAATGAGTTCTGGGTACGCCACTGGTTTATGTAGTTTAATTATTATATTTAACCTATATTTTATAATAGTATTTTATTTTTTTAATTTTTTTTTTTTGGTTTTACTTAAACTTTATTTCTTTGAGGTGGAGGAGGCAAACATTATTTGCTCCAGGACGGCATCGGCCCTTAATCCGACACGGCAAGTATATACACATAATGTAGTAATTAAAAAAAAAAACTGTCTGCCTCATTTATGTATAGTAGGTACATACAAGTACGGTATCAAAAATGGTTGTACAAAACCGAATCAGTATTTATATTGAATGAATTTGTAGATATAATGTGAATAGTGAAATATTAAAAACCTAGTTATTTATTTTCCTATTCGTGAATCAGGATAACGAATTTAATATTTGATTAGAGTAGGACTTGAATTGTAATAGAAAAAAAATCTTAATAATAAGGTGTGTTTGCAAAAAGAAATACATTTAGTCATACGTGTGATTGATATACCTAATTAATTAGGTTCTGTGAAGATTTTAATAGAGACATACGATATCAAACCGTGACAATTTACAAAATATCTTATGTGTTCTATTATTACATACGATTTTATTATTTATTCATCTACCTACTCCTAAAAAACGTTCAAACTATTGGCAAGGAACGGTCGCGTCGCTATACATAACCAGAGATTAAATTTTTTTTTCTTCTAGTACCAACAAAAATAGTTTATATTAAAATCTCATGCCAACTCCACGCATATGCGTACAGCTGACGGTGGTGACCGCGACGGTGATGGCGGCCAATAATAGTTGTCACTGAATAGTTGAGCGTCGCAGACACTGGAATCTTGCGAGAAACGACAGCTGCGCGGTTTACTCTCAGTTCGCGATTAGAAAATAAAAATAAAAATCATCGAATATAATCGTATCGAACTTAATTTCTTCTACTTTTTTCGAAATCGATTCTAGCCAAATCTCGAAAAAAGATAATTCTTTATTTTCGTTTTATGTTTATGTTCTCCGTTCCGTACCGTTTGCTGTGAAACTGGTGAACACTGGTTGGCGAATTAATCATTATTTAGAAAAGAGGCATTTCGCTAGGGAAGCTTTTAACATCACGGTGCATCGGATATCGGCGTCCACGAATAATGTCTAGTGTTTTATCGTCGACGTACGATCGTCGGCATGCCGTTGCCGGTGGTGGCGGAGCGGCAGCCAGAACCGGAGGCCTTCACTGCCGCTATTACGGCACGGACAGAAAACGAAACAGATATTCGACGTTTTCCATCATGAAATGGTTCCGGCGGGGCAAGCACTGCGACGACGAGGATTCCGCGTGGTTCCGAGATGATTTGCAGCGCATTCAGCAGGCGTACGTGGAGCAGGAGGCCGACTACGCGGCCGTGACGCCAATCGCCGCGTACCGCAGACCCGTGGCTACCTGGTGCCGATGGTCCGGCAGCACGACGACCGTGTACAGTTTCGCGTACGTGGACGGCGAACGGCGGGAAGACGACGAGCAACAGCAGCAGCAGCAGCAGCAGCAACAGCAGCAGAACGGTCGAAGGGGGCGCGAAGAGAACGCGACTAACGAAAATGACGACGACCTGGTGGAGTACATCGACGCGGCTACGTTGCCATTGGCTCGACGACGTTTCGACCGCGGCGCGCATTGCTCGTCGTCGAACCGTGACACCGTGTTCAGAAAATCGCCGACGACTACGCTCAACAGGAAAAGCGCGGTCGACACGATAACAGGCACCAGACGACGCAACAAGAGGGTCGCGCCACCACCGCCTCCGTTGACGCTTCCGGTTGTGACGATCGCGGCCGGGTCATCGAGATCGTCCACGGTTGTCGAAATGGCCAAAACGATGAGCACTATCCAGCGGCGTTCCGCGACGATGTCTAGGAAAAAGTATAGAGCACCGCCACCGCCGATAGCCGCGGCCGCGGAGTCATCGCGTCCCCAACAGCAGTACGTGCCCGGTCACCGTGGTGTGCCGCACCGTCGTAAAAAGGGTCCGGCACCTAAGCCACCTGTAAAACAACAGCAGCAGCAGCAGCAGCAGCAACAGCAGCAGCAACTGCCGACGAAATGGGTCGCTGGTGAATTGAAAACCGGTGCGGATAGCGGATGCGGAGGTTCGAACGTAAGGCGAAAGATATCGCAGTACGAAAAGGATCGTTTGATGCAACGCGTGGACAAAATCGAAAAACATTTTTTTGAAAAGAACCAGGTCGGTATACCGGTGGCGGTAACAGTAGGACGTGGTGAGAAGCCGATGGAAAAATCTACGTCGAGTGCTTACGGACACGGGTTCGCGTCGGTCGCGATGCTGTACACAGCCATGGCCGCCACCAACCTGACCGAGTTGGATAAGCGCGCGGCGGAGATATGTAATCGTCGGAACCAGCTCATCAGGACCGCCGCGACCGACCTGCCCGTTATAGCTTCACAATCGGCCACGATTGTGGCTGACCGCAAGAACGCTATAGTCGCGGCGGTTATCCGGAAATCGTATCCGTCTACGGTGGCACCTGCACCGAACGCAGAACAGCCGTTAATGTCTTCGCGGTTGACCACCGGTGCAACCGACACGATTTCGCGAGACCGCAGTAGTTCGAGTGAGACGACCGCGGACGACGAAACGCAACTGGTCCGACACAAACGTTTGGCTTTCTTCGAACAACGGACAACGGCTGCCTGTGAAAAGGAACAAAGTGTTGGGCGGGTGGTCGAGTTTGAGGCAACAGGGTCGCCGAACAGCGGTTTGAAGGTGGACGCCGCTGGCCCTATTAAGCTGTCGCTTGGAACGCAAACGTCAGGGTCTGTTATCGAGGCGAAAACGTCCAAAGGTACCGGCGCCGAAGGAAAGTCTACGTCCGGTGCAGCCGGTGAGTGTTCGTAGGATTGCGCGATTATTATAAAAATCGCAAAAATATCAAATATTAAAACGTCTTTAAAAATTCGGTATACATATACTGTGATGACAATATAGTGTTATTGAAGTTTTAGATCAATCTGTGTATCTTAAGATATCTTATAATATAAAAATCGATCACTCAGTAGTTATAACCTCATAATATACGTTACCTATATGAATTGTATAATCTGATACGTTTATCCATACGATAATTATATTTGTAAGCGCTGCTGTATGACTGTATATTCTTGCTTATTATTATTATTTATTTCATAGGCTACGATTAACGTCATTCAATGAACTGCTTCCTAGTTTTAATGTATATATTGTCAACGAAACAAGTTTTACAAAACAGAAAAATATTTTCCTTTAAAAATTACCATGTGTATATGCACAAAAAAGCATTTTTAACTAAATATTTTGTCTTTAAATCTATTAGAAATTAATACTTAAGTATCTACACATAACATATAGTTTAAAGAAACTCAAAATTTTAAATAAATTTTTTGTAAAGAAATATGTATCATAAGTTCAATATAATATATTATTGATACAATTTTAATAAAATTACAATAATATTTTATAATAATTGTAGTGACTATATGTCTAAGAAAAATGTATTGCTAAAATTAGTACTGTTGTGAGAAAAACATAAACGGTACATGTATAAATGTGTGTGTGTGTGTGTGTTAAATATGTGAGATAAATGTATTTAGTGCAATAACAGGATTAATATAAAACGTAGCAATAGAGAAATATACTGATCACTTTTTGTTCTTAATCATCATCTATATGTAAATATAATGATGTGTAAACGATGATTTATTGTCTCAATTCCATGTTTTTTAATTACATTTATACATATTATACTTATGTCTTATAAATTGAAAACTTGAAAAAAATTCCATATTTAATTAAACAAAAAAATCAACATTTTAGCAACTTAATTCTAATATATCCTCGAATAGATAGTCACAATTTTTTTAAAAATAAAATATTTAATAGCAGCGTAATTTCATTTCTGAATTCCAATTGATGTGGGTACACTTTATGTAAAGTTAAAGGCCAGTTATACAGTGTTTGGTTAATATATGATTAACGATTTTGGGTAGTTGTACAGTGTCGGTTAATTTTTTGGATGTACCGTAGCTCCGCACGAATAAAATTATTTTGTAAATTTGCTACTCCGCATGCACCGTAATTCCGCGTGGTCAAAAAAATTAACGTACCGTAGCTCCGCATTCTAAAAATATTTTTAACACCGAAAGTCCGCATGGTATAAAATTATTTGAAATATCGAAAACGCTGGAGCTCCACGTTTATTAATTAACTTATTAAGATATCACTATATCAGTGTAAAATTTGGTAATTTATTTGCTTCAGCACATTTAAATATTACAGTTTTCATTAAAAGTTTATTAGCTATGCAGACGGATTCTTACATACGAATGAATTTGGCTAATAATAATGAAAGTAGCATAGAACTAAACAAAAAACCAATATGGAATTTATAAATAAAAATATAGAATTATATAACGACGGCCATATTAATAGATATAATTTTGTAAAAAGTTTGGAACCATTTAATAATATTTAGTTTTAATTTACATTATAATTTTATTGCATTTAATTTTTTATGAACGACGACGATGTTTGTTGTGAATTGTTTATTATTATAAATTTTTTTAGTTTATTAGATTTTTAGTTGTTATTACAAATAAAAACAAAATTATATAACAACGGCCAATTGATAGAATACTGATTGTTTTTTTTTAAATTATGTACAAAAGTGTATACAAAAATAATGTGCGGAGTTAAGGTGTAAAAAAAACCTTGTTTGCGGAGTTTAGTAGATATATTACAAAATGGCCATGATGTATCCGCAGTTACGGTGCACCGAATTTTTTAATCATTGATTAAAGTCTGTTAAATTAATCAACCATCCAAAGTTGGATAAAAATAGTAATTAGTCACTTTTGTTATTTATTTCAAGTTCAAATGAAATTCATTGTTATCAATTAATTGTTTTAAAACTCATATTTTTAGTAAATTTGCTTATAAACTGTCTATTGACTAGAGCTCGGATGTTTATCAAATTGCATTTTTTTTCTATTGATTCATTTTAATGCGGACCTAGATATAAATTTTATTTGTGTTTTATTGAATCAAATATTACTATTTTTACTTTGAATATTTTTATTGTTAAAATAAATTTATGTTTTATATTTTAAATACATATTTTTGAAATTTTCAGAATTAAATTCATATTTTAGTACATTTCCGAATTTTTTTTAAAAATAATTTAAAATTAATGGTTAACTAAGTGATCAACTCATTCAATTGTGTTGTTCCAAATATTTCTATATTCAAGTTTGATTAAATTAAAAAAACCATTCACATTTCATCACAATTTAATGTTCATATTATATATTGGTATATAATATTAAAAAATATAAAATACAAATAAAATAACAAATAAAAACTAAATACTTATAAATTATAATACATTTTTATTTGTATATAGGTACTAAATATATTTAGTATTTTTACTACTATTCTGCATATTTCAGTTTTTTTTTTTTAGCTAAAATGTATATTTTATGATTTTTGTGCATATTTTAAATTCATATTTGGTAATATTTAGTGCATAATTGCATATATATTACAGTCATAATACATATTTTAGAACTTATTATATTATAGAACTGATTATTTTACATGATTCGTCAACTTACGGATTGCACCATAATGACTAAAGAAAAATTTAAAATACTAAATAACAAAAAACCAATTGCAATATTGGATAAAATTTAAATTTCGAATAATATTTGATAAGTTTAGTGATAAAACAAATATTAAAAAAATTAATACAAATGTATTCAAAATTAAAGAAAATATTGTATAATTCGTTGATTAATTAATCACAGTCAAATCACCATCTGCACAACTCACCTGGTTATAGTATATGATTAATATATGGTCGTCAATTATCTAATCGATGTTTAACTAATGAGCTGTATAACTGTCCTTAATCCTTACTTACGTAAATACACATGCCTTCAGTGTCGTAACTAAACGTTTGAATAAAATACATAAATATATACAGTAGTTTATTATTGGAATAAATAATTTACTCTAAGTTATTATACATAAAACTTAGGGTAAGTTATACAAAATAAAATAAATAAATATTATATTTATTTTTAAAACAACTATGTAGTACACATTATTTTCATATCATTATTTTTATAATATTTATAATATGATTTAAACATTGGAACATAATGTAATAATTTAGAAGAATGCGAGGCAAGGGGTATTTGTTAAGTTAATAAATAACATAGGTTTTAATCAAATACATTACATATTAATATTTTCATGCCAGTCATTTTATAGTATGAGGCCTGGGGCCTGTATGCAATGTACATTCTGCACACTTGGTTTTTATGGTACTACAGATCTTATATGAAATTAAGTTTTACGTTTAAATTTTTATTTGTGATTGATTGAAGGTTATAATTATAATATCTAACAATTGCATACTTTTTTTTAATACAATAAATACTTAATTGTTATACATTTATTTATAACCATTGTAGTAAATTTTATCTGCTACTTTTCAGACTCTAAAAATTTGCCATGTGAAGATAATAACTGTTATCAGCAGCTAATGGCCATGGAAATGCAAAGTGACCTAGTACTTCATAACGGTCCCTTTGAATGCACTGTGTGTTTATGTACATATGATAATAATGGCGTTGTGTTACGTGATTGTTTGCATGTATTTTGTAGGTATGAATATTCGATTTCGTTGTTTGTCCTACACTTATCTCATATAAATAATTATATCAGGGCTGTATCAGAATATATTATATTTATATTATAATATTATTTTTATTCGGTCATAAACACATATATTATGTATACAATATACCTATTATCTATTCGATATTTAAGTTAGTCCACCTAGCATTTTTGGGTCTAAGTCGTCGTACTCAGCCCACAGACCATTGGAAAAATGTGCATGTTTTCAGGCCTTGTTTAAAATTGACAATTGACCATTCGAAAGCTGAACAAGTAGTATGCCCGTACATAGACGAGAAATATTCTTGTACGGGAGTATTGCAACATCGTGAAATAAAAAAGGTATAAGTAGTTTAATTTTTTAGTTTTAAAATAGTCAATATCCGAAACCAATAACCATATACACCATTCTAAATTAATTATTATGTGCTTTATTTTTCTGGCACAGATATTGAATTCGGACGAAGAGTATGAACGATTTTTGCAAAGGTCAGTAGAACGTGCCAGACAGTTGCTGGTGAAAGATCACAACGGTGGATCGTTTCAATGCCAACGACCTGACTGCACCGGCTGGTGTTTAATTTACGACAAAAATGAAGTTGATGAATTTAAATGTCCTGTTTGTGGAACAGTCACATGCGTTCGGTGTGGGGTGAGCATTATGATCCAATATCAATAACATAAAATAATTACTTAACTTAATAATTTAATATATAAAATAATTAATTCTTAATTACTTTAAATTTAAATTACTAAGTTGAATTTTATTTTTCATGTTTAATTTTCATGTTTTCACCAAATATTATACTGTCTAAAATTATTTTATAGGTTGGAATAAGTTTTAATTTAATCAAAATGATGTATGAAATTAATAAGAGTTGGTAGGGGGATATACGAATAATGTAATTATGTTTATGCCGTTTAAAGTTAAAGTTTTGATACATATATAAACGTATAACCAATAAACGTGCAACTAATTGTGTAAATTTCATTGATAATTACCATATTTACATTATTATAACGTTTTATTTAGATTTCTCTATTTTTTTTTTTATTTTGTTCACTTTAATTTACTCTATTTTTCTTTATTATTTATATATTTCTCTTAAATTCTAAGTGAAACGAATAATATTTTGACCAGAAGAAGCGTTCAGATTATCACAATCATAGAGGTTTCTGATAAAACATTTTTACAGTTGGTAATATAGGATATCTACCTAGTCATTGTACGTAATTTTTAACAATTTTCTGAATAATTATAAAAAAACTGACAAAAACAAAAAAATCCGGAAAAATTTACTCCTTTGATTTACCCAACTTTTTTCGTCCAGTTTCGTTTTTTCGAGAACAATGACCAATGGTACATAGATTTCAAGTTAAAAGGACTAATGCGAGTACAGCAGTATCATTTAACCTTCTCTATACTTCACCCGACCATAGAATCTCACTTAACCTAGGAGTTTCACTCTTTTTTTTTATTTTACTTATACAAAAAGGTTGTTGATCAATTTATTATTGCCATTATAAAAAGGACATTATTTAATTTTTCAGTCGATTCATACACAAGAACAAAAATGTAAAACAATAGAAGAAAATAGTGACATTGAAATGTTGAATACCCTCGAGGTAAATCAATGTGAAAAATATTGTAATTCATTAAACCTTTTTTTTAACTAATTCATTTTACTAAAAGAATTTGATTGACCGGGGCGATGCAATGATATGTCCAGGATGTAATACAGTTTTGTCAAAACAACAGGGATGTGATTGGATCAAATGTACGGTGTGTTTTATGGAAATTTGCTGGGCTACTAAGGGTCCAAGATGGGGGCCTAAAGTATGTAGATATTTAAATACCTAAAATTATTATTATTTTACTCTTAAACCATGTTTTAAAGTGAACTTATGAAATTATATAAATGTGAGTTATATTTGTAACTTTGTTGAGAAAAAACTATAATTATAAGAAGTATAATATTATTGCTAAAATTATCTTATAATTTGGATTAAAAATAAATATTTATAAATATATAATTAAATATAGTATGTATACTTAATCCCAATTTTATTGGCTTTGTGTTTACCTGACAATGCATTTTGAATTCAAAAACAGTCGTACTTTACAAATTTAATATTACTCCAGGCAAAGCATTTATTTATGTGTGTATATATATATATATATATATATATCTATATAGTGTGATTCCTTTTAATGGTAACACTAAATAATTCTGTCAAGTGATATCGGATTGATATGCAGTCTTCGGGAGGAAATAATTTTCATAGGTTTTAACCTTTTTACTGTGCGCATTTGCAACAGAATTTGCATATTTTTTTAAATAACAATACCTACTTTTAATAACAGATTTGGATATACCGATATTTTTTAAGTCAATTTGGTCTTTATTATACAATGTACATAAATATAAACTATTTGTTTATTTATTTATATTTTAGTTTACGAATATTAACCATTTATTAATTTTTAATTTTAATTTTAAATCTTTATATTTGGAATATAATTTGTTTTAGGGAAAAGGAGATATTACAGGAGGATGCATGTGTGGTATACCAGCTGGAAGAAAATGTCACACCGATTGTAAATACTGTCATTGAACAATAAAGTTAATTTTATTTGTATACATTTATTCTGAGAATAATTTATCGTATTGAGATTATCTAGATTTATCTATAAATAAACTTAATTATAAACTCAAAAAATTTTACATCCGAGAACAATTTTAAATTGTTATGAATAAGGCAAAGAACTTTTAGCTCTAAAGAATTCTAAATATGCAAGCACCTATGCACTTAAAAATCTTATAATATGCATTAAAAATAAGCTTTTTTATTTTTTTAATGTAATTTATTTATAAAATATATAAATCATTTAAATATTGCGCAACATTAAATCGTTTTTCATATCTTACTTTAACATCACAATACATACAGTATAGGACTTAACTGTCTATCGAAAACACATCGACATCAAATTCCGATAAACAACCCTTTAAACGACTGTTACAAGACTTCTTATCGTTAGACATTTTATTGTTAAAACAGTACACAAGGACAAAATGTTGATATGAATTACGAATATACGCATATTCGCTGACTGCAGAACTAAGACTAAATTAATATAATATCAAATTATTTGCGCATACTGACAAGTCAGAACAATGCATTTTTGGGTATCGTTTATGAAATCGTTAACGTTTTATTGGAAAATGTATGATGTATGCAAGATGTGTACTGTTTATAAATTAAATTAAACTAATCGCCGATTCTGGAAACGAATTACTAGGAAAAACGTGCATCTGAGAACTATCAAAAACCATATTATATGAGGGGGAGGGGCATTAGTAATGTTGATGTTTAAGTTTTTAAAGGGTTTTTTTTTTGTTAAGAGTTAGGGGTCCTAAGGAGTAGTCAGATATTGAATCGAAGATATTTTCTATTTTACTGTGGAATCTGTTAGATATTTTGGTTACGAGTATAACTAGAATATCCGAGCACTTGCATGGAGGGAAGTCGGTCAGTATGTGGGATTTGAAGAGGACAGGATTAGGTAGTTACTAGTATGAGCGATTTGTCAGAGAGTGTTGCGACGAGGAGAGTTTGAGTGGCATCTCCATTGTATATAATTCGTACTGATGTCGCCTCAAACTATAAAGTTGTTGCCGAGCGTCGAGAAAAAGTTATTAAATTGGTTGGATGCTATGGTGTGTTTAGGAGGACAGTAGGCAGAGGTAATTAAGATGACAGTGTGGTTCAATGTAATTAGTACGAGTATAGCGCATGCTTGAATATATGGTTCATTATGGGTATTATTGGAGAGATTATTTAATAATTATTGCAGCTCCTTTGTGGACAGAGTTATCGGGATGGTTAATTTTGAGGATATTGTATCCTCGAATGTAAATTTTTGAACGGAATGTTTGATGGGTTTCAGTTATAAGGGTGATATAAATTTGCTTATTTTGAAGAGTGTATAAGAGATCGTCAAGGTAGTTTTAAATACCATTAGCGTTCCATAGTAAGTAGAAGAAGTAGTAAATAATTTACAGTTGGTTGATTATTTGTCATTATTTATTACTTATTTGTTGAGGACTGTTGTAAAGAGATAATAGTGGATTTATAATAGTTTTAAAATTATTTAAAAAGTTATTTAACATGGTACTTGTATCTGCATAGTATGAAGGAGCTGACGGTGATAGCGCTGGATATTGGTTGGCTGTTGCATTGGCGTATGTTCTTTGATTTTTAATTGGTGAGGTGGTAGATGAACTTGAAAAAGGCGTATGAATATTTTCAATATTTTAATTTGTATTTAAGTTAGAAAATGAAATTTTTTTTTTTTAGACGGTAAAGTTTTTTGTAAATTGTTGTGTATGAGAAATCCCTTGTAATTGGCGAGACGGTCACCATTACATAAGGCGCACTTAGCTGGAGATTTTCGAGATATTTGGAAGATTGACAAAGGGTGTTGCACCACAGCGGATGTATCTGGGTGGGTATGGGCATTACAATTTTGAATGGCTATATTCTTAGTAGTTAAATTATGTCTCTGCGTTTATATGGCTCTTCTATCTTTATTTTTGTGTTTATAATATGGGTGTTGTTGAAAATGTGTTTGTTATATTCATCGGACTCTAAATCAATGAAATAAAAGTGTAAGAATTATTTTTGAAGTTTTATATACTACAATTGTGAAATTGCAGACGTTCAATCCGATTTCGTTTATTGTTAATACGATTTCAACTATCGTAGAGGTAGGATGGAGATTTCTAATAATACTGTTTAATTTCGAATAATACTTGATGTGCGAACAACAGTTATTACGCGAATCCCAAAATAATTTAATATTTTAATTAAATAATTTATTTTGTTTTAAGTTTTAGAAACTTCCTCATACCTGATATTTACATTTTTTTCTGATAATATACAAGAAATATTACATTTTTTGCTGCAGTTGCATCAACTATAAATAATAATTGAATGTAATTTAAAATTTATTAGCGAAGTCATGGAACAAATAAATCAGACTAAGAATCGTTATCAAATTTGTTAGATTTAACAATACCGTCAATAAAGTTTTATTAAAAAAGCATACCTATAAATATTACTATTACCATAAGGTATTTTAAAAGGTTTTAAAGGAGATTTATCGATTTTGAAATGCCTCACAGAATCATTTTTGGTCATAACTCCGTTATTTTTGCTAGAAGAGGGTTGAAAACTATTGTATTGTAATCAGTGTTATACCGATATTTAGAGATTTCAAAGAAGATTTAATTTTGGAATTAGCAATTATCAATTTCTCACACCATGAAAAAATAGTTGTTGAAAAATCCGAAATTAAAGAATATAAAGTTGGCCGTAAAAATAAAATAAAAGTACCATACAATGAATCATGTCAAATTTATGTATATCCGTAACATAATTTTAAGTCAGAAAATCGTTTAAAATAATGACATATTTTGTTATAATTGATTCTTTACTTTTAGGGTTAAAAAAGCGTAAAAACTTTAATGACAATACAAATATTACGTTTGGATTTTTTGAATAATGTTTGATTTACCAGTAATTTAATTGAGAAATATAGCGACAAAATTATAAAATCAGTATCTTGAAGATCTCGAACGATCTCTTATAATTTAATATATGCATTTCCATGGATATTTAAAAAGTTAAGCAGGAAATGTATCACTAAAATATATTTTAGAGTTGTGCAGAATCATCGAAGATCAAAATGTAGTAGATGTTTACCCATTTGTAGATATTCCGTTACATATGTATTTTTGCTGTATAGTTTCTAATATTTCAGCTGAACGGTTATTTAGTGTTCTGAAAAAGTTAGATCCTATTTAAGATTTTCAATGAATGACATTCGCTTAAACAGTTTGACGGTTTTGAATATAAAATGTGAGATAATCAAATCAATTATTTATTATGGGGTAGTTGAAGTTTTTGATGCCCAAAATTATCATCGTAAAATAAAAATGTATATATATATTTTTTTTTTAATATAATGTTTTAATGTAAATGTTCTATAGTAGATTATATTATATTTATGAACCTATATTTTGTTATTTTTCAATTTTAAAATTTTTTTCTAATGATCATAATAAAAAACAAGTGCTAAGAATTTGGTTTGATTAAATGTTGGTGGTAATAAATTATATGCCCTCAGGACATTAAACCTCGAAATATACCATTGAATACTACTTCGTATAAATCAGAATAATATTTCGCAAACGGTTTGCGCACAACCTCGTGATAAAAACCATAACATATGAGAGGATTTCCGAGCATAGTAGTAATGTGTGAATAAAAAACTGGTGCGAACTAAATACGTGCGTTTACCACATGTTACGAACTACAAATTAATAAATTTGTTATTTGTTATTGCAAAACCATTATGTTTTTATCGATCAACTTAGTAACCGATACACCTATCCGGTATTATAAAACTATCGAGGTTAACAGCTTATAGTTATAACTGCAGTTATTATACGGGCTACATGGGTACTTTGTTATGTTAGCCATCCGAGTCCGGACTCTACGGAGAAGTCACAAAAAAATAGTGTAGCATGTAGCCAAACAACACTGTGATAAAGATGTGCTTAAATCGAAAATGTGGTTGAAAAAACATAGTATTTTTGAAATTTCAATGACGCGGTAAATATATCGTTTTGCGTTTTGAAACGATTAAACTTAATGATGCATGTGAGCTCGTGGTTCGGTGAAAACGATTAATATTATTTGCACTGATCGGTCATTTAGGCGTACGATATGGATTACGTGGACACACAGCTCCTATACAATCATCGGATCTCAAAGGGCCGGAAAGAAAAATAAAGTTCGAGCTGTAGAAGTCATCGAGTTGTGTCAAATGTTGTTAATGAATAGCAAAAACATGTGTTAGAAACTAATATTGAACTTTATTGGTAAACCGTTGCGAATATTATAAGAGCTGTTATGTTTGTACCTTACATTCAGGCACGTACACGATTGGGGGTGGAAGGGTTAGGAGTTTAATCTCCTCTCTCAAATGCAGAAAAATTATTAAATATGTTTTTATAGAGTAAAAGTGGGTTATAGACCAGGTATATAAGTATGGAAATGTACATACTAAAATCCTCCTCCAAAATATTTTTTTGTGTACTCACCTGCCTACATTAGTTGTTTTTTAAAACCGTACAATTTATGCGATCAAAAACACTGGTCCAATAGTGTTCGTCCTTTATCAACGTTGTTCGCATAATGTTCATGTACATTATGTTGATAATCAGTGTTGGCACAGTTAGCCAATATCAACAATGAATCTTTTTGCAAGGGCAATATTTCTATTGATTCGGACACTTTGGCGTTACATGAAATGACTAGATGAGATAGTCGGTGAGTGTATTCATTATTAAAGTATGCACATACATTCATGAGTAAATATGGATAGGAACAGTACATTTTTATTAGATGAAAATCCCGCGTAATATATTTATGAAACAATAATAAACAAAATGATAATCGAACTTCGACAATCCGTATACAATACAGTTGGTAGACTCTATTGAGTACAATCTTGATTATTCGAACGTCTGTATATAAAATAGAGAAAGAAAAAAAAACCAATAATCCATGTACGTTT